GTCACCCCAAGTCGACAGCGAAACGACCCAGTTCATTATATGGATGGAGCGCCAACCAAGATCTCTAGGGTCGGGGAACTCGACGCGCAGGTTTGCCACCACAAAGTCAAATCCAGCTTCGACATGTTACTTGGGTTGGCAAAGAAAGCAACCTGGAGGTTTTCTTTACAACGTTCGGCGAATCCTGCCAATGGTGCATGGTACGCCGTATGCTTCACCAGCAGGACATTCCAGCACATTTGTTGATCTCGCTTCCATGAATGAACAGGTCGAGTGTCACTCTTAACTGGACACTACCTGGAGATCTGGAGATAACACCGGCCATCCATCAAGTCCTCGTAGAGAGTTTACCAAGAGCTCCGCAGAATCAGCAACAATGGACTTTCTCGCACAAACGTGCCCGTCAACAAGGCGCAGTATACGATGCAGTATCGTATCCTCAAGGCAAATGGGAGATCCTGGCATTCATCCCAGAGTCGGCCATGGTCAGATCACCAATGACATTCTCCGTCAGGGAAATAAAGGAAGGCATGGACTCGGGACCAGGAGCCCGATCCGATAGCAGTGTCAAAGAGGAGCGCCATCATGCACAAATGCGTTGGGTCGACGTAAGGATTCAGCTGCAGCAAAATATGAGCCGGGCAGCGTGCAAGGTATGTATGTACGGCAGGAAGAGCCATTTATTGGTACATGGAGTCGCATGTTTTATCTCCCGAGGAATGCGACGCTTGAGTGTCTTGTTGAGATTCAAAATACCTTGGAGACATTGCTTCTTTTTGTTGAACCTTGCTGCTGGGTTGGTTTGTGGGATTCATTTGTGATGGGCACAACGATTTCGACAGCATTGGCTGAAGACAGGCTCCATTTTGACCTCCTACTCGCCCGCAAGCAAATCCACGCGTGGTATGGCCACACTGTGTCAGACCTTATCGGACGCCTAAAAGCAATGCTGCCAACGCGGCCTTGATCTTCAGTGGTACCAGTAAGTTTCCGAGAACAGCGTTCCGGACTGATAGCAATGAGCTGACATAACATACCAGCGCGCAATACCGAGTAAACTTCTCGGAATTGACGGCCCTAAATTATCTGAACCATCAAATGATACGCTGTTGAATGACCTAGCCATCCTACCGGCATGTCAGCCTCGGGCCTGAGGGTCACACAGCTTGAGAAGCAACTGAGGAACTAGATCAGGGATTCTAAACCCAGGCGGAATCTTACAAAGACGCCAAGCGATGGTTGCGAGGGCATCTGTGGGCCCAGCAAAGCCCTTTTTTTGCAATGCTCTCTCAACCTCTTCTGGAGATCTCCTATCCTTCTATCCTCGAGACTACCCTTTTGCGCCTTGACACTTCCGAGTGTACTGACAAACGACGGGCCCTGGTTTATCAATTTCCACATTACATCTCACATCTCACGACTCACCCGCGATCAGAGCGAAACCGGCCGAATCTTCCAACTTCGAAGCATGCAAACATCACCAAGAGCTCCACTGAGCAGTCGGCGCGGTGCAAAGTACTCGAGTAAGCGTGGTGTACCCACTTCGAGGCGAGGATGGCTCGACTAGCTAGGCACAAAGAAACCTCTCAGGGCTCTCTGCGGCACGTCATGGAACCAATGGCCACGCATAGCCAGCGCGAAGCCATGCAGTGTGCCATAACTGTAACATTGACTCACGTTGGAAGGGCCTTCTCGCGGCAGGCTCCACCCTCGGCCGAAGACACCACGGCCCAAACCAACGAGGCCGCCCATTCTCTGGCACGCCAGTGTATGGATCCCAGCGAGCTGTACTGGACAAATGTCAGCACACTCTTTGTGCTGGATGGGAGCACTGTTAGCAGGGAACAAAGGACTCCGCGAAGAAGCTCCATAAGACCTTCCGATCGTTATTACACACCTCCCTTGCGAGCGCTGGCCCTTGATCCGCGAGATTATTCCCCTAATCAGTGCATGGCACTGTGGCCCCTCCCGTCTCTGCTGTTCCAACGTGGAGCCCCGACTGACCTGGACGAAAACGAGCGGCAGGCTTCTGCTTTTGCGCTTCACCCCGCTGCCAGAACACTACTACGCAGATAGACCGGGCTAGGAAGCATGCTGCTGGTGATGTCGGGCCGAGGAGTACTCGTTCTCCGGCGTATGTCGGAAGCGTCAAGCCCCAATCGCATTCGTCCTAGATCCGTCGGCTGGGTGTCAAGTCTGTAGCTATATCTACCACAAGTGTACCGCATCATAGGTGCCCTAAAGGGAGGGGACCCAGATTATAACGGGCAAGCGACGACATTCTACACGGCGTGAGTGGACCCGGTATTCCTGCCAAGAAGGACTGATCACTTATGCCCTGACCTGACTTGCATTTGCGGAAACCCTCGCGATCCATTATCGCGGCGTTGATGCTCAGCCTGACGAGACATTGGAAGTTAACACCACACATGTCTCAGAAGAAGAGTTCCAGCTTCCCGTCAGAGTATCCACCACCCGCCTCTCTGAAGCTAGATGCAGTCTACATGCACTCTTTGCCGATATGGCCGAACGAGGCTACGGCGGGCTTTCCACTTTCCTACCGAGCTAAGCTGTTAGGGCTGGGGACTCGGTCATTAGCTCGATTCAGTGGAGGACGGCATTAACCGGGGCAGTTTGGAACGACGCTCACGGAGGCCACTTGGATTTTGTGACCCATGCCTATGAACCCGCCCACCTAAGCCTGTATGTCGGCCAATCCAAGCAGCCAGGATATTCGCGACACACACCGCAACATAGGAGACAGATCATGGAAAGCACCACTGGCCGGCCTTTATTACTGCATTGTCAAGAATGGCGATGGCCTAAGGATGGCCAATTCTATTCGGCTTTGCCCCATTCCCATTCCCACCATAGACTGACGGTACAATAAAACCTTGGAGGTCCAAAGACGTTCTGACTTGGAAGAAACGTTCCTCAGCTTAGAATACTTCCCACGGGCCATGAACCTCACGCGTCAGCCACACACAGAGACTGCGCTCTTCCTACCGGCTCCTGCAAGCAAGAATCTGCCATATCTGACAAATATGCCTGAAGTTATGAGTGACTCCAATATTATACGCGCTATTCGGTGCATTTTCCGTTACATTGATGCCAGAAAGTGCGTCGTGCTCACCATGAGCGTAGCCATGGCGTTGAAGCTCCTCGGGTACTATCCCCCACTGGTCTTTCTATCAAGCTCTCTACTCAAGTAGAGTTCCATATGGGATGGCACGGCGTGAAATTAGCATGGCAATCGATATTAAATTAAACCACCGGTACGAGATAGAGACGGAATCATTCTGCCTGTTATTTTGTTTCCGGAACGCGCGTCTATCGACTCGGCGGCGCCAGTGTGCTATTATACTTCGCCTACCAGCACCTGATCGCGTTTCACATACCAGACCCTCCTCGGATCTACCTGGCTAGAAAAACAGCGTGCTCAGGCATTTATATCGCGCTCCTTCTTGGGAGGCAGATATCCGGAGTCCATCCATCTTCATCTATCGACGATGCTGTTTCACTTGTATGCCCACTTCATCAGGCTATGACCCTTTCACCGTTCGCTTTCCTTGCCTCTAACTAAGCTACGTTGTCATGTCCCTGCGATTTTGCCGGGCCTGTTCCAACCGGCAGTGTCTGATTCAAGCACAAGGGTGGACAAGAAGATAATCACGCAGCACAGTGCCACCGTCCACAAATCCATCCCTCTGGTCCATGTCGGAAGCAGTAGGTACTTCAAGACCAAATCTACCGTGGTCAGGTTCGAGTGGTCATATCAGCCTCTACCAGAAGTCCAGGCCAGTACTACTCTGTACACGCCTTAAGAGGGCCAGTGGTAATCATGGCGCCCCGTTCGCAGTGGGGCGTGTTGATCGTTTAGGATTCGATTCACCCAACTACGACCTTCTCGTTCGGTGCCATATATCTACTATTACTCGGGAAACTAAAGCTCGATATCCACGAGCTAAAGCCTCTCCTTAATCCCAAATATCCTCGACCTCCGAAAGACCACGCGAGCTACAAAAAGGGGAAGACAAAGCCGAGCGGGGCATCCAACACCTATTGCATCTAATGCATACCCCAAAATCATCTCGCGCGTCCTCAAAGTTGCTCATTTCATGGTGGTCGAGCACGCGTTATGGATGGGTGATCATCACGGGCTTCGCGTACGCCAGGAGAGGTATGGTGTCGAAGAGAGTGTCGCAGAGGTCATGAACATTACCAGGGAAAGAAGTATGTACGACAACAAAGGCAATCAGATGATGTTGCTCTGACCGGTCATCTTCACCCTTGACGATAACAGCGCAGTGGGCCAACGCACCCTTTGCGGCGTGCTGGGTTACGCTGGATAGTTCCTCCAACTCGAGACGTACCCCACGTAGTTTCACCTGGGAATCTCCTTCGATTCGCCCACGGTACTCGACTGTCCCATCAGGAAGGAATCGGCCACAATCCCCGGTTCGATAATGCCGGATCCCGCCAGGTCCCGTTCGGAATCGAGTGCGTGTTTCGTCGTCGCGGTGCAAGTAGCCCAGTGAGACGCCAGGTCCACTGACACAGAGCTCTCCAGGCCATCCGTCTGGCAGCTGTTGCCACTGGTCGTTGACGACCGAAATGGTATAAGAGGGCACGTCTCCGAGCTAATCTGAACGGCTAATATCGTGGAACACTTGGCGAGGGAGCTGGATACAAAAACCAGTGCAATAGACTGCTGTGATTGGTTATCCGTTCGGATGGAGCGGCCTTGGCACGGATATGGAGACAGCGAGAGAGGTATCTGGGTTCCTTCTTGTTCCTGGCGTGGACATGCGAAGGGGTTTCAGAAGTTCTCTCGCTTCGTTCCAGCTGAGATAGGTACAAGCAGCCGATGAGAATATTCCGCCCTCGCCAGAGCAGGCACGCCATCACCATCTGTATATCCTGCTTGGGCCCATCCCCCACACGTCTCACCTCGTACACCAGCTGTCGGCAGAAAAGATGGGATTGGCTCCCGGTAGGGCTCATTGCTCGTTTTCCTTTTCCTCCTCCAGTCTCATCGACATACTGCTTATCATCTCATGCAGGAGAACAGCCCCAAGCTCAACACTCTCAAGGAGCACCTCCCGAAGCTCCTCATTCCCAAACCACCAATCCGCCTTCTCGTCCCACACCCCTCTCTGCCACTCTGCCAAATCAGCCTTGTTTTGTGTGATGATTTTCTCAGCCTTGCCCTTCTCAAGAAGTACCACGTCCCGCGGAATCCGATATTGCGGCTCGAGCAACACCCGCACCATGTCGACCTTTGCCCCAGATACAGCAAACGCTAGCGGTGACTTATCAGTTGGTGTCACATCCCAAGCTACTGGTCCCGCCATCTCAAGGAATACCCTTGCGACAGCTACATGACCCCTCTCCGCGGCCTCACAGAGCGGCGTTTTCCCCTGCGCATCGACCCGCTTAATGTCGACCCCGGGGTGCGCAAGGAGGAGCTTCACCAATTCGATCTGGCCGGTTAACGCGGCGTGGTGCAAAGGGGTTCGTCCAAACTCGTCTTGTACATTTACATCAAAGGCCGGGTGCGCCAGGAGCGCTTCCATGATAGCTGGGTCGAGGCCATCTGGGTGCGTTGGGTAATGTAGCGGTGAACGTTTGGGTGTGTCCGGGGAGAAGATGCGCACTGCGTCAAAGCGTGGATGGTCGAGGATAGCTTGCACGTGCCCGACCTTGTTCGAGCTGATTGCAGCGCGCAGCACGGTCGGCTCTGGGGGCTGTCCAGACTTCCAGGGCACGTGGTGTATCTCGGCATCTTCGAAGGAGAGGAGGTACCGAAAGACATCGTCGCTCGCCAAATCCGCAGCGCAACAAAGAGTTTCGCCAGCGAGTAGCCAGTTCCTGTCCTCGTCCGGATACACTTTCGATTCCCTTTTCATGACCGTCTTGGTGATGGCCAGGCTACTGCCTCTAATGGCGACACGACACATCGTGCGCCGGGGGATAGTCTCAGGGTCAGGCATACCACAACGAGCCAATATGGCATGAAATATTCCACCTCGCCCTGCCAAAGCGGCCAGGAGTAGTGGGGTGACAACGCGCCCCAGCACCGGGTTTACAAGGGCTGCGTCTTGGATCTCCATATCTGTGTCCTTGCGCGAGAGGAACGCGTGCACGACATCTTCGTAGCCTCGCTCGACCGCATAGTGTATAGCCGCGCGACCCAGCGAGTCCTTGATCTCGGTTCGCAGACCCTCTGGCTTAGCAGTAAACAAGGCCCTCACGACACCTGCGTGTCCGGCAGACGCAGCCCGGTGCAGTGGTGTCACCCCTTCATTGTTTACGACATCGCAATCCACTCTTTTGTCGATCAACCTCTTGACAGCGACGGTATGTCCAGCAAGAGCTGCGAAATGTACCGCATTATCTCCATTCCCGACCGTAAGCGCGTGCAAATCAGCTCCTTGGAATGCGAGAAACTCGAGCACATCCACGCGTCCTGCTACCGCGGCGGCCATGACGGGCAGGTATAGCCAGCGATCGCTCGGATCGAAGTTGATGTCGATTTCCAACGAGAGAATGCGCTTGAGGTCAGATACTCGACCAAGATATGCAGCGCCCATGAGTGCGGTGATGCGCCATTGCTGTTCGTCGCCATTGAGCGGGCTGAACATATCGATGCCGTGGTCCTGACCCGGTTCTAGGATGTCGAGAACGAGGTTCGGACCGAGTATAATGGTAAGGCTTGAAATCAGCGCTCCTGTGTAGACATCTCGTAATTTGTTTGCTTCCTCGTCCTCCTCATCTACGGCATTGCTGCCATTTTGCCGCGTTTCCGATTCCCTTGAGCATGTGAGGAAATCCGCACTCAACGCTGCGCCATCGACAATCGTTCGAGCAATGGACCTTTCATTCTCGTGTGACATAGGAGGCGCAGCGGCAGTTCGAATAACCAACGCCCAAAGCAATCGCTCCACAAACGCGATCGTGGATCGTCTCGCGGCGCCCCTCTTGAGCGGGAGGCTTCGATGCAGATTCCCCGCTCGGAGCTCCGCAAGGACGAGGCCAATGACAAGGCCATCGAATGTTCCTGGCACAAGTCAATTTCCATTCCTAAAAGGTTTATATTTGGTTTTTTTTTTCTTTTTTCTGCAAAGGGACAAGATCAATCAAAAGGGAGATGCTAACTCACGACAAACAAGCCTCAATCGCAGAAACCAGCGCACATTCTTCGCAACGGTGCGGCGCCAGCGATCACTGTCCCAGCCAAGGTTACCCCAATGCCAAGATGGTGGGACGTAGGAGAGGATGTGGGAGATTAGCTCCGGCGGCAAATCTGGAAGGGACATGATAGATGGATGGATGGAAGAAGGGATTTAGCATGATGATGGGGAGTGGGAATGTCAAATGAGGCTCATGTTTACCAGCGCCACATGGAGCCGTTTCGAGTCATATGCGGAGGGGCCAGATTGCATCTCTTGGAGAGCAGAGGAAACGGGCCTGTTTGATTAGATAATATGCTAATTTCATCAGATGTCTCTCTTCGAGCGCGACCATTTTGCCAGATAGCTTTTGGAATTAGTGAGGTACAATAGAGTCCTAGCGAGGCATCAAATGGTAGCACAGGAAGGTAGATCCGCGAATCTACTATATGCAGGCCATTCTTTGCTTGTCTGGAGCACATGCAGAGGCGTGTGTAGCTTTGTTAGTAAGTGGTGGCTTCACACCACTGCTAGATAGATCACACGCTCGCATGCAAGCCTGGGTTGCAAGTGAATGGATGGAAACGTTCTAGATTTTGGCACGTAGGGCAGTTAAAGCTGCTAAAGAGCTGCTCTAGATCTTCGTTCGGCTAGCAACCAGACTTCAAAAATCTGTGATACTGTTCTCTCCTCCCCAGATCTCTACCTGCATACCCTAATTCCTTCGATATGGAAAGGAAAATTGCACCAGGCATCAACGGCGCTCAACCCACGCATGAGATCACGGGTCCACATTCGAGTCCAATTATAGGGCTATATGGTTTGCGTTGGTTTGTCTGCTAGGTTTATTCTACGACCGTTGAACACTGACTTTGTGTTGAGTGGACTGCAATGGCGCCAAGGTGGGCCAGGTGGATCCACCCAGTGGAAGAAGCGGGACTCGAGCAGGGACAAAGTGTTCAGCACTGGAGAGTTGGTCAATCTGTCTACACTGATCAGTCGTGAAGAAGACAAAGCACTTGAGGAAGGTGGGTCAATCTGTCTGCGCTGATTAGCCATGTGGGTTGTTGGTGGATTCATTCCTGCTAGTTATCTACGCTGATCAAGATGTGTTCAACTCTTTCTTTGCTTATGCCGCCTAGACAAGCCCGTCACAGTCCACTCAACATAGTCAGTGTTCAACAGTCATCAGCAGACAAAAGCTGTGCAATAAATTCAGTTTACAACTGAGAATGACCATCCAAAAGTCTACCTTGCCTTGATACCCACAATATCAGCCAGAACGACCGCAAAGCTTGGCTAGATGTAGCAGAAACCAAGGTTGGTCTTGATGTTCAATAAACAAAATTGTCGGTCCACCTTGATATTCTAAATGGTTTGCAGGCATCCCTTTCATCTGTTAAACAGCACTCAGCCCAGGTCTCTGAACACGGCTGAATGGCCCATATGGCTAATAAGGGCAGATAGATTGATTGAACCTTCCCTGAGTGCTGAATACTTGTCTCTAGTCCCTACTCTATCCACTGGCCGAAGCTACCTGATCCACCTCGGCCTCGTCGCAGTCCGCTCAACACAGTCAGTGTTCAACTGTCATAAGCGGATAAAGGCTGCGCAATTAATTTCAGCATGCAACCAAGAATACGACTATACAAAAGTCTACCTTGACTTGATACCCAAAATATCAGCCAAATCCCCGCCAAGTCTGGCTTGATTAACAAAACTGTCGGTCTACCTTGATATGTTAAAGCGAACGGTTTGCGGGCATCCCTTTCATCTGTTGAACAGCAGTCAACCCAGGTCCCAGGACGCGGCTGAACGGGGTTGGATCGAGTATCTAGTTTTGTGGTTCGTATCCATCATGAAAAGAGATAAATGGGAAAGCAAACTGCTAACTTCTTGGCAAGTCTTGTCTGATTTCTGGGGTACATCACGTGCGGCATCGCTTATAACGAGTTCATGAAGGAGATTAGGAAACACCTGCCTTGCTTGGATGATGGGAGTGTCAGCCCTCAAGGTTTGGCCAGATTACGATACATGGGTGGCAATATCGCCATTCTCAACCACTTGCTGTCTGGGTACAAGTCAGCTTTCGAAGTCACACTCACACCCCGCTGCCTTTCGTAGGAGCGCACAGCCCCTTGGGACCCTCTCTGTAGACCCTAAGAGCAATTGCTATATTCCTAGGAACCTACTCAATCCTGCGAACCACGTATCATGGTCCCTAGAGCCGGCGACCCTGTCGGATCGAGCGAAACCGGAAAGCTATGCTGGGCTGCTGGAGGTAAATGACGCTCCCAGGCTTGGAGCTCCTCGAGATCGCGCGTGGCGAAGAAATCCCATAGTTTCGGACAGACACGCATCTCGGGATTATCCCACTCAAAAAGCAATCCCTTGACGCTAGTTGCAAAGGCCAAGAACTAGGATAGTCAACATAGCTTTGTCTTCTTGACGAAGAAGATCACATGCGTCGTTTGGTGCTCGAGGCTAGAAAGCACCTCGTAGTCTTTTAACTACCGCGCGCACATCAGCCGGTATCACCTTGAGTGGAAAGTCGCTAAGATCAATCATCCCGACCTCTGGTGCCTCGCTGGCGTGATGTTCCTTTTTAATGGTTATTATCATGACAAGGTCTTTAGATGTGAGGCGGGCGTGGGTATGACATCGGACCGCACAAGCAATACTGAACTCATGTTGCCAGTTCTCCAGTGGACGAGAAAATGGGCAACGTATTTAGCCGCAACAGAGTAATCGAACATGTTTCATACATAGACTATAGTTGGGCTACGAGTTATACAAAGGCGTTATGGGGATGAGTTTGAGCGCCGGCAAAGCCTCAGTGCCAATCTCCGCAAAAGATTTCCAATGCAAGAAGACATTCGCGCGAAGACATATCACGAGCTGAAAGCCCTTGTTCAGCCTAATCGGGCAGCTTGAGTCATTTTATAATTGCAGTATCATGCAGATACAACCAATGGAAAAAAGCCACCTCCCTAAACGCTCTCATCGGAGGGCTTTGCAAACTAGTCGGTGAAGTCTGAGCCTCGTCAAGCCTTCTGGACGTGACATGTCAATTGCGCCACGTTGTCGTTGGGCGTCAGGGCCGCTGTCTCTAATAGACTTTCCGATGGGCAGCGTACCCTACCACCCTGAGAGGGCACAATGGGATTGCAAGTCCAGATTGCTGCACAGGAGGATAGGAGCCCGATCTCGCTAAGAGTTCGACCGTTACGACAAATGTTATGCCTGACAGCACACCTACCACTCTCTATAACGGCGCCTCAATATGCATTTGGTGATAAATTTATAGACACTCTTGTCTCCCAGATTTACTGAATGTCGCTACTGTCTTGCTCGCGGATCATGGGAATCCTGTATTCCAAGGCTGGACCCACACCTACAAGTATCCCTACTCCTACGCATACTCAGCCTTCTGCAGAAATGTCTAGTACCCCGGTACGATCCATCAAAGTCACCCTATACCATATCCTCCATAGGTATTGGACGCTAACTTCCATAGCTTGAGTCAGACGGCCTCTTCCAGGTTCACCCTGCCCAAAGCCGGCGAAGAGAGTTTAGCCTAGAGTAAGTAATCGCTGCTTTAGCTGACCCGACACCCGGTGGGGAAGGGAACTTGTACAGGGGCTAACTGGCTAACTACCTACCGCGCATAAAGTATTGTCTTCGTCCACGGCCTAGGTGGAAACTCCTATACAACCTGGACAAAGGGTACGATTCACTGGCCTAGGGACCTCCTCCCTTCGCTCGAGTGCTTCGAGAACGCCCGAATTCTCACTTTCGGGTATAATACGAGCGGCTTCTTCACCAAGAACGCAGATATGGAGAAAGCCCGCACATTCACCTGCGCGGAAATCCTCGTTAGTGAACTCAAAAACATCCGTCGCAGGGGTGCCCAGGATCGCCCCATAATTTTCGTGGGACATTCCCTTGGGGGGCTCGTTATAAAGTCGGCGCTTAGACATGCTATTCTTCGGCGCGGACTCTACGGCGATATTGTGGATTCCACGAGGGCGATCATTTTTTTCAGTACCCCGCATCAGGGAACGAGCCAAGAAGCATGGAAGGCCTTCTTTGCGCGTCTGGGACAGTCCAAAATTGAAGAATCTAATGTTATCTCTGAACTAGAGGTCTGGTCCGATATGCTGGCGGAACTGACGACGGAGTTTGCGGACCTGGCAACGCAAATCAATATTACTTCGTTCTATGAGAGGCGTTTGACAGAAGGAGTCATGGTAGGTGCCTTCTCCCCCCTTCACCCCTGTTGAGTTCTCTTTTGTAATTGCTTATTCCACCGTAGATTGTGCCCGAGGCTGTCGCAAAAATGGGCCAGAGGAATGAACAATCCCGTGCCCTCGATGCAGACCATCTGGATATCTGCAAGTTTACCGAAACGGATGCCACCTGGCGTACTGTCAGTAATCACTTGGATGCCATCGTCGCAGATATCGAGGGCCTCGCCGAACTGCAGACCTTGCCGCCTCTTGCCACTCAAGTGGCCAACGACACCAGCCTGGAGCAAAGGTTTGAGAGATTGGACCGGTGTAGGTGATCCTATGGTTCATTGTGCGCTGCGCCGAGGAGATATCCGTTTCTTCGTTCTTTTTTTTTTGGGTTCCCCGGGGCAGAGAAAAATGCTAGTATCGTGTTATCACAACCAACCTTGAAATCTTACTTTCCTTTTTACTTTTGATAGGACAGCATCACTACTACCAGATAGTAGACGAAGATTGAATTATCGTAATTGATCCTATCAGGGAGGTACACGTCTTCGCTTGTCCTTTCAGCCGAAGCGAAAGTCCGACCGAAGCTACTAGTGCAAAGCTGTCACAGCCACGCTTGATGAAGGCTCCCCTCCATTATACTGAGAGCAGGCCCATATGGACGCTTGTTGGCAGACCGGATGGAACTAGATTTCGGGATTTGCGGTTGTGCAAGCCCCCAACGCCTCCCATGAATTGGGTTGGGTATGGAAAACGCCCTTATCTCAGGAGTATCCGGAGTCGCTGAACGTCTAATTGTTAAAAGCGAGGCCAGAGGGAACAAGATTCTGGCTTACTGACCAACTCACTCCTTCACTGTGCAAATGAATCCATGCACTCGGGTGGGGAGCGTCGGCTGAGAAATACGTGCAGATCGATCGAAAGAGATGGGGCACATGTTATGCCACATTTCTGTTTTCGCCCACCCGCAGAGCGCAGACTTCGATAGCCAATCCCTGGTATGTACAGTACTGCTGAGACGCCGACGGGCTGCGTGATAGATCACACTGCAGCTCCATGCATGAACTTATCCAGGATAATGTGTTTGTTTTACACGTCGACCCAATCACGCCAACAGCGAAGCCAATGTCCGAGTTATTTGTCCGAGGCTCTACAGTAGGCAACCGGTCGGGCCCCCACTGGCAATAGTGGGGCGCGGTATGACATGCGCTGAAGTATGGGTCTGCGAAGGAACTACCCTCTGCTGCTCAGAGCTCGTCGCAGGCAATTGTCGCGACAAGGCTGTGTGATTATGAATGACAAAGGGAGTGCGTCACACGGGTTGAAAAGCCTCCTGGGACTCTAATAAAAGCCGCTTATGGTCGTGATCAGTAGCACAAAAATAGCGTTGCTTTCTAGCGCATAGCCTCTTCATTCAGTATCTGTCCCGTCTCTTGGCTTAGGAGCACACAAGAATGAGTGACTACAGCAAAGGTGAGGAAGGCGCCGGGGAAGACGATGCAGTTCTGGTCGACGCCTCCCAGGAATCCCCAGAACAAGAGTCTACCACTGCTCAAAACCAGTTGGACGATAGTGCTGGGACCACAGGGCAGGGTATTGATGACGTTAGTAGACCAGCTAATGGGGTCTCCAGTTCTTCTAACCGTATGCAGGAACCCGAGCACAGCAACTCGAGTGACATGGCACACGAGAAGAGCACTGCATCTAGCCCAGCAGAACATACCGAAAATAGCCATGGAACCCTTTCCTCAGTGGAATATGAACCACACAGCAGTACAGTCCCCCAGCCAGAAGTACAGCTGAACGAGACCACGTCGACCGGCACGGGCTCACAAGAGCAGACAGCAAAATCTCATGATAGCATCTCCAAAGCCTGCGAGCACTCCATTGCAGGTGACTATTCTGCACCCACTGACTCCTTATTGACGTCGGTTTTTCCTGATAACGGCAACGTCGTCGATGACGAGGCGACAGAATCGATGGCTGCAGCGCAGGCGGATCAGATCAGCAGTACAAACACTGTTCCGGAAAAGGGAATCAACCCAGAGGATAACTCTACTTCGACAATGCAGGATCCGTGGTTGCAAGATGCTGGTAACCAGACGGGCGGCGATGACTCGGTGAGACTTTTTGGACAGCCGTATGTGTATATATCTCTAACAACTCCATACAGCCCGACAGCGCTGAAGGAATTGACGCAAAGGAAGAGACCACAGGCCAGCCAGAGGACTGTGAGAGAATAGAGTGAGATCAACGTGACTCCAATAAACTCTAGTAGATTGTTCAGCAGGGGCTAATATCATGTCTAGCATCGTGGCCGTGCACGGACTGGGTGGCCACCGCGAGAATACGTGGAAGTCACCGGCGCCCAATGGCTTTCACTGGCTAAAGCCGTTCGGGGAAAATCCTCCTTGGGGAGCGAACACGCGAATTATGACATTTGGGTACTCAGCAGGGCGAGATTCGAATTTGTCAGAGAGGATCTTTACGATCGCAGAAAATCTGCTCAGTGATCTGTCTGATAGCCGAAGACAGGGCAAGGTAGGCCATTCCCAAAGTACCACCCACGACAGGCACCGTGTCTTATCAATCCGGCTAGCAAAAACAGAGAAGTATTATCTTCATCGGGCATTCTCTCGGAGGCCTTATTATCAAAGCTGTATGTGGTTCTTGCTTTCGGTCGCCCTCCTTCGGAACGCTCTAACCTCTAAATATCCGTCGATCGCGTAATATATAGGCTCTCATCCAAGCCAATCAGTACCGGGGCCAGTTTCTGGACATCCTGGAGGCGACGAGGGCGATTGTATTCTTTGCAACGCCCCATCAAGGCGCCAGGCGTGAGGACTGGGAGTTGTACGCGAGCAGCTTAGGTACTGCGACTGACCTAGAATCTGACCTCCTTGACGAGCTCGGAACGTGGTCGATTTCTGTGGTTGACAGGATATCGCCATTTGCAGCCATTTCCAGAAATATCGATGTAACCACTTTCTATGAGATGGGTGGCCCAGTGGTATGTATCCACGATTTTGACTGGGTTTGGTCGGGCTAAAACTGTGTGCAAGGTTGTTCATGAAGGGTCCACCAGGCTTGGTCTCCCCAACGAGCGTATAGTTGGGCTTGCGAAAAGCCACTTGGATATCTGCCGGTTTCGGGAAGGGGATGATCATCATATCCGTGTTACACAGCGGCTCAAAGCCATCATAACAGATATCCGGGACAAGATCAGGGCCAACGGTGAGTGGCATTCCAACCGTCCCAAAAATTCTGATCGAGGTTGGTAATGCAATAGGCAGTACGAATCTACGAGAATCTAAAAAGTGATGGAAAAGAATCTCTTCACCAATGGGATCAAGCTAAAAGGGAGAGCGGCGAACTAGGCCAAGAATCTGCAACATGCACTTGGATTAACAATCATGCTAAGTTCAACGAATGGAGAAATGGACAATCTCCAATTTTGTTGGTATATGGGATACTTGGGTATACGCGCACCCTCGCTGACTGGGCAGCCAAAAAAAATGGCATGGAACCGGCCCGAGTTGTCCTGGACGATGGGACTCTAGATATTGATGACATCGAGTCTCGTGTCATCAGTACTCTGCTTTACCTGGCGGTTCTACATGAGGAAGCCAAGGTACATGTGAGAGACCTTGGCCTGACGGATATGCATCCCGGCCAGCTCAGCATGTACGACGGGCAGTTACTCAAACTTCGTCAATGCTTGACGTCACTTCTCTATCGACCTTTTGACAAACCCATCTACCTCATTGTTGACACACTTGACAATGACTCCAAGTCCCGTGTCGACGCTATCGTTTCCCGTCTGGAGTCTGGACTCTCCCCAGTCTCTCGCATCAAGTTCCGTTTTAAGATCATGATCATAAGTCGACTTGGACTTTCCCGACCCCGGCCAGGTCTACTGACCATTTGTTTAGACGATGTTGACCAGGAAGGGAGGACACTATTTCAGTGGCTGGTTTATGGAAAACAGCTTCTCCATACCAATGTGCTACGAGTGGCCATCCGCGTACAGCATCCGGAGTCTTTCTCGCCCGAGGCTAATTTTTCCAACTTGGTAGCCAAGTGGGGTCACGGTCAAATCGATACTCAAGATGGCATGGCACGACTAATCAATTATCCATTAATTCGGGAATTCCTGTTGCGCGAACAGCCGGATGTGAGAGTCTATCACGCGAACATTGCACGGGTGTGTCTTGAGTACCTTATCAACCTCCAACAGGATCAAGATACTCGGGATGAATGGAAAGAAGACTCTTTTGAGAAGTATGCCGCTCGCCACTGGTCTGTGCATCTTCATGAATCAGAAGAGGACATGGAAGATCTACTGCGGAAGCTTGTGAACCACACGGATGTCAACCACTACTGCAAAATAGCACGAGGAACCGAGGAAAGCTCTCGTGGAGAGTCCGCGACCTTCCTCCATATTGCCAGCGAGCTAGGCCATGACAGGGTGGTTGCACAACTGCTCCTGCTACTGCAAGAGCCCGATGAGGTGAATCGTAAAGATGACCGCGGGCGTACGTCGCTCCTTTTAGCAGCGCAGAATGGACACAGATCAGTTGTGGAGCTCCTTTTGGCGCAAGGAGGAATCGATGTCAACGAGAAGGATGATGATGACCGCACTCCGTTATCAGTCGTTGCCCAATCCGGGTACTACCACATCTGCGATGCGCTGCTGGAGCGACACGCCAACGTTGATCAGAAGACGAACGGGCTGAAGCCGGTATTCATAGCTGCCAGCGCGGGTAAAGAGCAGGTCTTGGGAAGATTGATCAATGCAACCACCAATGGCCCTGAGAATGGAACGGACGCAACATTTCTCCATCAGGCAGCGAGAGAGGGCAGTGCGACTGCGGCAAGCCTTCTTCTCCAGAACCCGGAATTTGACAAGGATGCTCCGGATCAGGATGGGCTCACACCCTTGTACCTTGCTATAGAACACAATCGGGGCGCAGTAGCTACACTACTGCGGCGTCTCAAAGCTTCCACCGAAGTACCAGATCCAAGGAATGGGGAAACGCTCATCTTCAAAGCCATATCTTCCGATAACCCGACGGCTGCGAACTGGCTGCTCTCCTGGGGGGCTCGCATGGATGCAAAGAACGACGCTGGGCGAACCCCGTTGCACGTTGCAGTCTCACGTAGCGTCAGGAACGTGCAGGTAATGCTGGATTATGGGGCACCAGTTAACGAACAAGATAATTCACGCCAAACACCACTTCATGTGGCAGTTAGTTGTGGAGATGGGGGATCTGAGAACGTACAGGCCTTGATCGCGCACAATGCCGATGTCACAGCTCGCGATGGAAATGGCAACACCGCTCTCCATCTAGCTGCAGGTGCGGGGGCTATTCAGATAGTCCAGATCCTACTGCAACAGGATCGAAGTTCCCTGTCTGCGCGGAACAGCAATGGAGAAACTCCTCTCCACAAGGGTGCGTCGGGAAACCAGACCGGAGATGTCGCGGGGCGCAGAAAAGACAATAACGGCAACAGGGGCGAAGTCGTCGAGATTCTCATCCAGGAGGGAGCGAAGGCGGACGCCAGGGACCACAATGGGAAGACCCCTCTACACATCGCCGTCACTGTCGGAAATACCAACGCAGCTCGCCTTCTAATCAAGTATGGCGTCAACATCCAAGTTCCGGATAACGATGGTCACACACCACTTCATGTAGCCGCAGGCAATGGAAACGAGGAGATTGTTAATACTCTGCTCCTAGCCGGAGCGGACACGACGATGAGAGATAACGAAGGCAGAACCGCTCTGCTCTACGCCGAAGAGAGCGGGATTTCCAACGAGAGGGCTATCTCTTTGTTAAATAAGTCTGATCCGCTAAAGGTACGTGAGCCCACCAGATGCTATGCGCGAACTTGATAGTGGTTGACTGCGAAATAGCGAGATAATCCCGACGATGAGGAGATTTTTACCTTACGGGAATCACCCATCTTTCCCCTTTCAGAACCAGACCCCGTCGACCGGCATAGGAAAGCGCTCCCAGCGGTAAAACTGACAGTTCAGGACTGGAATATCACCCCACAATACCTGTCTGGGATGATGAGGCTCACCCAGTATGATATTGTGGTTCTATGCGGTGTGTCACCATCTTCTGAGACTCAAGAGCTTGACCAACGGCCAGCAGACAACAGTCGTTCGATGAAGGCCAGGCGGGACCTGCTTTGGAAAACCCTTAACCAAATTGCCAGAATTGCAACACGGTTGACCGGATATGGACTTTCTCTACGGATGCTGAATAAGAATGGCAAGTGGGACAACTTGAGTGTGAACGATATCAAGAATATGGAGGCGAGTGGGACCATGGAGTATGGTAGTGGAACCATGCTCGGCACCCGTCTAGACGAGCTTGTGATCCAACCGATACTTTTAGATCCCAAGCGAGAAAAGCCAGTCATCACAATTATCATAACAGACGGAGAGGTACGGCCAAAGTCCAACACTTCAGGTGCGCTCTTTCAATATAATAACTAACCCTGGCGAGCAACGGCTTTAGGCAAACAGAGAAGGTCGTGATAAGCTGCAGAATGTAATCTTCGCATACAAAAACCAACCTCGGAGGAACAGACGGTCTATATTCCTAATCTCGCAGATTGGCGATAATCAGGGCGCCACGGACTTTCTCAAACGCGTTGAAGAGGACACAAGGATCAAAGATATGGTGTACTGCTCCCACAAAAAACTTGACGAGTTGCAAAAAGGAGTCAACAGAGATTTGGGCGAAGAAGATAAAGAATATGCATCCGCCGTAAGGAAGCCTGCCTCCCGGTTTGCACCTTAACGGAGCGTATAGCTAACGATCACCAGTTGCTGAAACTATTTTTAGCGGCATTGCGGAAGAGAGCATGATCAGTCTGATACCTACCACGTTAGCTTAGTCTCGGAATGAACTGTGAAGTTGTACCTGATAAAAGATAATCTGAACGCAGTACAGCATCAAGTGGCGTTGAGCAATAAAGTGCGGCGGCCACCTCCTGCTAAGTCTAGCCTAATGAACACTAGCCTATATATACCCCTGTAGAGACAACCGTCAAATGGCAGGTGGACAAGTGGGTGTGACAGCACACGCAGCGTCAGGTAGAAACCCAATCACGTGCGGACAGCCTGCTGTCTCGTTGGTCAAAAAGACTCAACCCGTCTTCCAGCAGAGCTTCAGTGATAAGACCACTACTAAACCCATATCCCCGATTAAGTGTCACTATTTGGTTTAGGGAAGACCATAATAATGCCGTCATCCACACCGGAGATAGAAGATTATCATGTCGCGTGGATCGCCGCCCTACCGATTGAATTCAGCGCTGCAACAGCCATGCTGGACGAGCACTACGAGCATCGCAATGATGACACCACACTGTATACCTTGGGTCGGATAGGCTCACACAACATCGTCGTCGCCTGCCTGCCTGCCGGCCATATCGGAACCACGTCAGCCGCTACATCCCTTGTCGAAGTGGTACATAAATTCCCAGCTCTCCGCGTCGGTCTCCTCGTTGGCATTGGTGCCGGGGTACCAAGTCCTGAAGCGGATATACGCCTTGGTGACGTCGTGATAAGTCAGCCTACACGAGGCTACGGCGGGGTGATACATTATGATTTCGGAAAGGTCGAGCCGGACGGGCAACATCGTCGGATAGGGTATCTAAATGGACCACCGCTAGTGCTCCTTTCGGCTCTCTCAAAATTGAGGTGGATACTCGAAACGGGCACCAGCCAAATAGGATCTCATCTCAGGTCGCTGCAAACATTGGCGGCCTTTCGCCAGACAAATACAACGCCCGACCATCTATTCCGGGCAGATTATAAGCATCAAGATGGTCCGACGTGTGAAAATTGTGACCCGATAATGGTAGTCACCCGGCCTGAGCGGGATAAAAATGGCCCCAGCATTGTTCTCCATTGTGGTTTGATTGCGTCGGGTAACCAGGTAATGCGTGATGGAGTCACAAGGGATAAACTAAGTAGCGAGTTTGGAGGTGTCTTCTGCTTTGAGATGGAGGCTGCTGGGCTTCTGAATATCCTGCCCTGTCTTGTCATTCGGGGAATCTCTGATTACGCAGACTCGCATAAAAACAAGACATGGCAGCCTCGTGCCGCTGGCAACGCTGCTGCATACGCAAAGGAGCTCCTAAAATGCGTCCCTCCTTTTTCTACGGCGAGACGGCCGAGTTCGGAAGGGAGCATAACCCGGAATAGTGCAAGATCGATGGTAGGGCGACGAGTTTCTGGACGTAATAACGCGACCTCAGATGGAAATACAACAGAGCCGCCGCCAATGGGGACCATCGTAAGCACTAATACCGGCCTGCTATTTACGCAGAAGAAAGCTGATTAGCGTCAGGAACATTCCCTGGGCCTTCACCAGCTATACCCTAGCTCGACTCGGAATTTACCCTTCGGCTTCGAGTACGTTAAGTTCCACCCATCAACTCAAAGCACCAGTTTAATCATCCATAGTGTTATAGCAGTGCACGGTCTTGGCGATGCGCGGTCAACGTGGACGAAGGGTACGACGCTCTGGCTTCGAGATCTACTGCCCGAACTGTCCTCGTTCCGGGATGCACGTATTATGGCATTTGGCTACGACCCGCAAAGCTTTTTCCGTGAGCTTTCATCGATGGCTCCTGGGAGACTCTTCACATTTGCAGAGGATCTTCTTAGTGATCTCGCAGACATACGTGCTTCGCGGGCGGTATGAGTCTTTCCTGAAGGCGTAGTCTCTTGATGCAGTTCTGTCAGCTAACCATAACACTACTACATTGAAATTCTATAGCACAAGAACAGACCCATAATATTCATTTGCCATTCTATTGGCGGTCTCATTGTTAAAATCGTCAGACTCCGTTCCCTCCTTCTTAGCTCTATGACTTGACTGATGACACCAAGGCCCTCCGGTATGCAAATGAGCGCCAGAGACTATTCGGAAACATAGCAGCATCAACGAAAGCGATATTGTTCTTCGGGACCCCACATCAGGGCTCGGATGCGGCGGCATACCTCACTAGTATCCAAGAAGCCGTGCTGATCGATCAAACAGATTTGGTTGATGATTTAGCGACGTGGTCAGCGCCCCTGATCGAGCTCACCACCGGTTTCAGCGAGATCGCTCCGAACTATGACATAACAACCTTCTTCGAGCAGAGAGCTACAAATGGTGTCGTTGTATGTTTTCACCCGCTATAGTGTGATATCTCTAACACTGGTATTCTTGTTTGTAGGTTGTTTCTGAAGGGTCTGCAAGAATGGGGCAAGCGAATGAGCAAATTCGCGGTCTGAACGTGGATCACGTCTCGCTATGCAGGTTTACCAGTGCAGATAATAATTGGAGAATCGTCTCCAGAAGGCTCGAGGCAATTGCCAGCTCGATCAGCGGGTAGGCCGGTGACGGAACTAGCGACTTTCTGCCTGTTTAGTAGGCATTCATGGTTTTACCTCTCCATATTTACCTCCCCCTTCAATAGCGAGACATTGAGAATGAAGCATCTTGATCTACCACGCGTTGACAGGACGCCTTCATCTTGCTTCTTCTATCTAGCTGCAATGTACGACTAAATACATAAAATAAAGGGGTAAATGACTAAACTAAATTAGGAATATCGGAATATCAAATAATCGAGCGGATGCTGAATAAAACAAGACCCTAGCGGTATCCTAAGGTCGACAAATATTGAGGGATGACCAGCTCAGCGCGCACGTGACTAATGACTGATCCCGCCCTGAGCAGGACCTGAGCGCTCACTGAGTCAGAAATACTCATTGAGCGCCCTCAGTTAAAGCGGCCTCATCCAAATAGGAAAGTCACGTTGGTCCTAGAAAATCAAGTCTGTACAAGGACATACATAGATCGATAGAAAGGCTGTCCCATCGGAAAAGGTAAGGCTTCGCAGAATCAATCCTCTCACATCCACCTAAACACCATTCCACAAGTGCTTCCAAGTTTCATCCAGCATCTGCTTGTTTGCTTCTCTTTCTAAACAAAACCCCCCCTCCAAGCGGCCCACCCCAAAAGCCCAACAAACGTCCCCCAATGATTCAGCGCCGTCCCCCTCCTCTCACCACCAAACGCCCAAACAACAAACCCGTCCCCCAACCCTGCTAGCGAAATGACCGCCGCAAGCGTCGTGATCGCCCGTTCCTCGCCCTGGTACTGCAGCGCGAGCAGCGCGAGACCGTACGTGATCTCGCGGATGGATTTCAGGTAAATAAGCGGGGATACTGTTCCCGTGCTGGTTGCAGTCGGACTTGGAGGGCCACTTAGACTGGTACTGCGGTTTGAGGTGCCACTCCTCGTCGTCGTGGTAGTGGTCAAAGCCGGTGGTGGTTCGAGCGGGAGACCGAAGCGCGGATACTCTGCCTCTGGACGGAAAAGACCGTTTACGCCAAGGGTTAGGCAGAGGGTGCCGATGAGGTAGGTTGGGAGTGGGGAGAAGGTGGCCATTGTTCTAGCTTTGTTATTTTAGAGGGGATCACCGTGGGGTGCAGTGCCCAGCTTTAAAGTAGAAAGCTGCGGCTAAGTCACGACGACGCGTAGTTTGGAAGGGGAGGGCAGCTATTATGGATAGGAGGTTCAGGAAACTGAAAGAATGATGAAGATGTTGGAGTAGATATGAGGAAGAGGCGACGTCTATCCATATTTATGGTCTCTTAGTGTTACGCGGTCTCCAAGGTTCTTTGTTTGGGTCCACCGTGTAAATATGTCTAAATATGGGGCGCAATCCCGTCTGACAGCCGTTTGGTCCTACAGTGCCAAACAGCAACCCAACCGGGATACGGAGTCTAAGCCTTTCCAGATCATGGTGGAGAATTTACCTATTTAATGATACCATTCTGTCTTTCTCTTCACCAGGGTGGTGGGTGGCTGATTGCCTCAGGTGTCGTGCCCAAAAATATATTTCTTGGAAGGGTGATTGACTATGGAATCACGGTTTTATCACTAATTTGTCTATACTAAAGACCAGCTTAAAAAGTATGTTAGCCCGCACTATAGTAGATTCTAGGGCAAGCGTCATTCATCATCAAGATATAAACGATGCATCTGCTCGCATGCGGATGGTTCAGGGGACTCCAGGCTTCGCCAATAGTCCGGCAACGCCCATTTGACCATTCACTCCTCCTTCAGCACTTCATCGGCAGTCAGCCTCTCTTCAGGCCGGAACTTCATCATTTTGCATATTAGCTTAAGGAAGGCAGTCTTCTCGTCCTCCGCGACTTCTTCCCAGCCCTTTTTGCGCCTCCATTTTTGCACACAGTCCTCGAATAGTTCGCCTCCAAGGGGGCGCCACTTGTTCCTTTTGTGATAGTCAGTTGACTTACCTCCTCGTCCCAGAATTGACTCCGGCCCTCCCAGCTTGCATACCAATCTGCGGGCATGGACCCGAGGACATCGACCTGCTGTGATGCAACTTCGTCTTCAGTCGCCCACTCGGAGCTGAACATAGTTTTCATGCCGATGATATCCCAGAGCGCTGTAGCGAGACTCCAGATGTCAGATGAATAGCTGTTGGGGAGGTTGGGTTCGAACTTGGCTTCTGGAGCACGGCATGCCTGTGGACCGGCAAGGCGAGATCATCCATGGACTTTCCCAGGAAGAAAGATTGGACCGCATGGGCGGGCATAGTATCGGGTACCGGCTCTCCATTGCTTCGTATGATGGGTAGTGTTTCAGGTTTGCCGTACATTTCGTAAAGTTGGTCAATCGAGAGGACGTCAATATTTGTTGAGAACTTGAGTAGGACATTAGCTAGGTGGAGATTTAGGTAACAAAGTCTTAGTCCGTGAACTTCAAATTCGTCTCGGACGGTAGGGATGAGATTCTGGCCGAGATGCTGGCTCTGCGATGGGTCAGAGAGAGCTTTGAGGATCTTTGTGTCAGTGGGAGGACGGGACGCCACATGCACTTTTAGAGCGACATATTTCTTGAGCTGTGTGTCGTGCGCGAGCCATACGGTTGAATAGCCTCCCTAGCCTAGCTTATCAACGATGTGGTAGCGACTGTCATTCAATTTGTCGCCAATTATAATTGGATGGTAGCCACCGGGCTCATATCTACCGAGGTCCTCCACATCTTCTATCAGTTGTACTCGAAACGAGGATGGTTCTGGGTCATTGGAGCTGGTTTATTAGTATGAAGCACCTGGGTTTGGCCCTCGTCGCGCGCGAGAAATCATGATCATCAAGGTGAATTAATAGACGTAGCTATCTCAGCATAGCTTTGTGTGATTAGCAGTGTGTGGGTTGATGTGGAAGATGGCTTTGCATGGAGTGTTCCACTGCTTTGTATACTGGATCACGTGAGTATTTATCTCGTTTATGCCTGAGGCGCCAACCCCACATTCCTCGGCTTCGAGATCTGAACCAAGGTCAAGAAAAATCGAGCCATGGGCCGTTTACATTTAGACACCAACACGGTTTGACTTTTGTACCTGAACTCTTCAAATCAGCGACATAAATTCAGCCATGCCAATATTCAGCCTATGACGAGCACCTTGTTGCCAACCTCTCTGATTTCGGCACGTGCATCCCCACCGCCCAGCCTCACCGCATCGTGTCCTGCCAGTTCATCCTCGATCCATTCCCAGCAATTTCTCCGATCGGACAGGTAAAATTCCAGAGCTCTCATCTTCAATCTCATCGGCATTCATCGTACATTCACTTTTATCATCACTTTCTTCAGCTAGATACCCCGCATTCCTCATCGCCGACCTCGAATTCAGCCCACGATCTGATTCTCGACTCCATTGTGCCATCTCAACCCGATCCAAGGCGCTAGATCGTTAGTGGCCGATTGTCTGGAGCAACCAACCCACTGAGCCCGCTCACCACAGCAGATCCACGGTTCAGCTCTCTTGTTTACCGCCGCCAAAACATACTCACCTCCAGCCAGCCCAGCCCAGCCTTGTCGCCCTCTTCCTTTCTCATCCACTTTCCTTTCCTTCCCCCATCTTGCCCTCTGTACTTTTATCAATTTGTTCTGTTTTCTTACTGTTTGACTCTGGTTCCTTCTAGGCCAATTCAAATCCACATGATTGCCTGAGTCGCCAGAGCGCGAATAGCTCTTTGCCCATCATGTTCAAGGCCCTCATGGGCGGCGGCCGCTCCTCCTCCGACGCCCGCAGCAGCTCAGGCTCCAAGAGCGGCCGTCGCAAAACCGGCTCTAGGTCCTCTGCTTCCTCGACAGTAAGTCGCAAGTCCTCACGGGGTGACGACCGTGATCGTGGCTTGGGCGATCTGTCTGCCTACCCTTCCTCCTCGGGCAGTCGAAGCAGGCGCTACGCCGAGAGCGCCGCGGACGAGTCGGTCGCTTCGAGCTATGCGACTGCGCAACCAAATTACTCGGACGATCGCGTCGCTATCGAGCGGACGTCGAAGCGCCGAGACACAGATTACGACGAGCGAGATGAGCGCTATCGGGATGACCGGGACAGAGAACGGAAGAGTGAGAGCAGGCGCGATCGCGACCGCGATCACGAGCGTGCTAGGCCGGAAAGAGAAGACTCGAGGGATCGTGACAGTCGTCGTCGGGAGCAAGAGCGGGCACACTCTGGGGATTCATATTTGCCACCGCTGGCGACGGGTGCGTTGCCTATGACCAGTGCGCCGTACGGGGTTCCCATACCGGCAACGCAAGATCCATCGCACTCTCCGTTCCCTAGTACTTCTACTCCCGGACAGATAGATGCTCCTTCACCCTCCATCTATGACCCACATGTTCAGCAGCAGTTTCCTGGACAGTTCCAAAACTCTACCGAGCCTTACCGGCCGCCGAATCCTGCCGGCGAGGCAGCCGACTACTATGGCGACCAGGGACAGTCTGTCGCAGAGCAACCGGGTGTCCGACCGAAACCGCCGCTGGTCATCCCCAATAGCCAAGCACACCTCATGACGGCCTCCCCGTCCGCAAACCCGCCGCCAGAGCCTAGCAGTGTAGGAAGCGTTGGCGCGGCAGCAGCGTACTATACGGGCGAGACGGGTGTCGATGCTCAACACTCTGAGCAACCCATTTCCGGGTCTGGGTCCCGGCCGCCAAAACCTTCCAAGCCGTCGCATTCTTCTGCCCAAGCTGGCGTCTTGGGAGCGACAGCTGGAGCGGCAGCTGCAACATACGGTCTAGGACACTATTCCACCGAACAAGTACTCACGGAGTCTCCCTCCACTTATGGCATTCCTGTTCCGACAAGCGCCAACATACCCCCTCACTCGCAGTCTTACTCGCAGCCTCAGTGGCAAGCTCAACCACAGCCTCATTCACAATCTCACTCTCATGGTGTCGGTGCTGCTGTTGGTGCTGCCGCGGCCGGTGCTGCAGCTGGCTACATGCTAAGCCATCATAATCACCATTCATCGTCAAGCTCCGATCACGTCTCCCAATACACGATGCAGAATCCCGACGACATCTCTCAGATCGGACCAGGTTTTTCCGGGCCATCTGCAAATCCGGCGCTATATGCCGCAGGAATTGCAGGCGCTGCAGGTCTTCCATACGCCGCCAGTCCTCTACATCCTCATCACGCTGCTGTCCATCATGGATCTCCTTTCCAGTTTGGTGGTATGGCTTTTCACCAACGCCAGCGTGGCCCTCTTGACAAATTTGTTGACTTCTGGCGGGACCCTGAGGGTGTCGGGAAGTTCGAAGATTACACTGAAGCCATCGGTGTTTGCAAATACTGCTTTGAACCAGGCACAACCTCAAAAGATGCGCCACGACCTCATCACTACAGGCGGCGCCGGTCGTCGGATCGCGTCAGCGCTGGCTCTCGCGTCGAAAAGTTGAGTCGCTATGCCTCTTCAGAAGACGAGGGTCGCCGGCGCAAGTCTTCAAAATCGTCATGGCTACCTGCAATCCTTGGAGGATATGCTGTTAAGTCGCTTTTTGATAGCAAGGATTTTGATGACTCATATAGTGTCAAATCAGGCCGTGTCGTGGGCGCATACCCGGACAGTGAGAGTACCTCCACTGTTTCAGACAAACGGAGCAAGACATCGCGTGGTGTTTACAAGCGATCGAACCGAAGTCGCTCGCCGGAACGTGTCGGTCGAGTAGATTATCCCGAACAGCGAGCTCCGGAACATGAGGGGTCCCGAATTTCCGTTCGCCCTCGCTCCCGGTCCCGGTCCCGATCGTCATCGAGGTCCAACCGACACACTCTTCGCGATGCGGCAATCGGCGCTGCGATAGGCACCGCAGCTGTGTCCGCGGTCAAGTCCCACCATCGCAGCCGGAGTCACAGTCGCAGCCGCAGTCGGTCCCCACGCAGATCAAGGCGCAGAAAGTCCTCTTCTTCGGAATCATCTTTTGTTGATATTTCGAAGAATGCTAAGAAGTCCGCCAGCGGCTTCGGCTCTTTTTTCACCGCTTCCTCTGCCAACAAGAAGCGACGGAGTAAAAGGAGCCGCAGCATCTTTTCCTTCACCAATTCATCGTCTTCGTCTCTTGATAACGATCTCGCTTTCGGAAGCGGGTTCGCCAAGAAACTTAAAGGTAAGTCCAAGAGACGGAGTTCGAAGGAAAAGAAGGAGAAGAATGTAGACGCGAAATTGCTGGCGCTGGGCGCAACAGCTACGGCGTTAGCTGCTTCTTCTCCTGGTCGAAGCCGTCGGACGGGCGAGATCCTCGTCGGTAATGGGTCCCGCTCAGGTCGATCGGATTACACCTCGTCTGCTAGCAACGATGACGGCTGGGAAGATATGGACTCGGACGGCCAGGCGTCCAGCGTCAGCTCTGGTCTTGCATTCGGCGCAAGTGGCCACTTTGCTCGTGAAGAATCGCATTCGTCAGACTCGTCGAGTTCCGGATGGGGGTGGGGCTGGGGAACCAAGAGTAAAAAGAAGAAGTCCAAGAGGCGATCCAGCTCTGAGAACCGATTCCCAACTGGTGTTGCTCTAGCTGCTGCAGGCACTGCAGGAGCGCTCGGCACGGCCGCGCTTGCCTCTGGGTACCATCGTGACAACAAAGAACCCGGCCAAGCTCCGAGCAGCAGCACAGGAAGCCTTCAACATGTTGCCCCAATGCCCACTTCCGACCCATCTCGCTTCGAAGCTGTTCCAGTTTCGTCTTTCCCTCCGGCACAGCCACAGTTGATTCGACCTGGCCCCATTCCTCTTCAACAACCTCAGCCGGTAACTCCCGTCTCTCAAGCTGTCTACACTTCCCAGGGAGCGCCCATCGCGCCATTCAACCCACCAATCATCCCCGTAATGGAGAGTCCATTCCCGTCCTATGAAGCTCAATCGCGCGATGCTGCCACAGCCGTGTCTGAGCCCCAATGGAGGCCGCCACCAGTTTTTTATCCGGCGCCCGTCAATGAAATTCCGCCAGCGGGGCGCCGCCATAACCGCAGCGACTCTACTCCTGTACTCCACACTGAGCCTTTGGAGACTGCGTCTGGATTTACCTTGAAACGCACCTCCACCGCTAAAGACCAACCCTCTGTGCAGTTCGATTTGACGCAGGAACAAGAGGACAAGGAGCGCCGTGCGGAACGTCTGGAGCAGCTCAAGCGCGACCTCGACCGTGATTTGGAGCGCCAGAACCGGATACAACTGATCGATCGAGAAGACCCCGTGCAACCCCGCGATGGTGGATATCCTGCGGAGCTACACAAAGACCGGGAGCCCGAGCGAGAGCTCGATCGCGAGTGGGAACGCGAACGAGAACGTGAAAGAGAACGAGAACGGGAGCGCGAGCGCGAGCGGGAAAAGCGTCTTTCCAAAGAAGATGACTTGGAACGACTGAAGGACTCGTCGTCTTGGGCTGGCCCAGTTACTGCTGCTGCGATAGGCGCTGTTGTGGCCTCGACTGTTGTCTCTGGCAAGTCCTCCCATGATGATGCTTCCGAGACAAGTGAGAGCCGGCGTGAACGTCGACGAGCAGAGAGACGCCGCGCAACAGATCCCACGTCCGTATCGTCAGTCCCTCCTCCCTTGGTCTCCTCACAGTCGGACTTTACGGTGCGGCCCAAGGCAAGAGATGTGATTGAAGAACGTTCGAGCTCAGCTAGCCCTCCACACCACTACAAGACATCTGCCTTCCGCGGTGTTGGTCGCAAGAAGTCTGTGTACGATGACTACGCCACGTTCTTCTATCCAGAGGAGTTGCGCCACAGTCCCGACTCGCACACTCGGAAGGAATCCCCTGTAATGCCTACAATTATCGAGATCGAGCCTGCTAGCGAGAGCAAGCGCGAAACCAAGATCGAGCAATTCGATGACCCACCTATCGACTTCAAAGGCTTGGATAGGTTGCCGTGGCCTGTACCCGAGTTGAGGGTTATCGAGCCAACACCTCCTCACAGTACAAGTGGCTCGGTTAGAGATGCTTTTTCGCCAATTATCACACCATCAGAGCCGCCTGTGGTGGAAGAGAAGGAGCCTGAACGGCCAACTGGTTCTCGCGTTTCATGGGGTGAGCACCAGACGCACGAATACGAAGTCCCATCTACATCCTCTGAACGCAGCTCTCTTGATTTGGATGAAGGACGACGCCACTCCGTTGGCGAAGAGCCTCGCGATACGCCTATCGGCTATACATACATTGCACCCTCTGCCCATGAAACCGAAGACATGACAGAGGAAATTGAGTTCGCCGCGACCGTGGCGGCTGCAGCACAGGCTGCAGGATTTGATCCCTCACTTATCACCGAAGATCCTATCTTCCGTACGCGCACTTCGCCTCCTGGATCTGATACCCGGGAGCGGTCCATTTCTCCCTCGACAAGGGCGCCGCCTCCTCCTGCGCAGTTTCATGGGTTCGTGGAAGGTGAAGTTGAGACACCCCAGACTCCAAAGGATCAACTTTTCAGAGATGGGCCAATCTTTACCGATCCCGAACCCGCCGTCCCTGAAATCATGGTAGAGAAGAGCCGAGACGTTGAAACCTGGGCGCCTGTCGTGGACCCTGCGACAAAACCAGTTTGGAGTGAAGCAGGCACAGTGATCAGAGATGTTCCGACAGAAGTTACCGACCCACAGGACATCCAGGACAAGCCGACCACCGAAAGTCCACGAAAGGATTCTGAATCGCCTGAGGAAGAGTTCTTCATGCCCGGCGGGTTTGACTCTGAGGAAGCACCGAAGAAGATCAAGCGACGCAGCACTTCGCCTGCTGCAGAATACGTTACCAAGTCAACTGTTTCGTATTCGGCTGCCGAGGAACCTCATCCCCTCCAACGGTCAGCGACTGACCCAATTGATTACGACATCGATGACGCCCCTGAGTCGACCGTTGGGGACGGGGATGGAAGCGAGGGAAAGAAGAAGAAACGACGCAAGAGGCGCTCGAAGCGTGACAGTGGTGACTTCGACGACAATGCCTCCGTGGCATCGTCTGTTCTCACTGAAAGCGGCGAGAAGCGCAAGAGCACGGAAGATAAGGGGAAGAAGTCTGGTGGTTTCCTAAGCAGCATTTTCGGGTCTAGAGTGTCCGAGCCAGTAGAAAGCAAGAGGTCCCCTGAAAAGCTTGTATCTCGCGAGGTTCAATCTGAGATCGGAACTCGCAGCTCCGAAGAGTCTTCGCGCCGCCGGCGGCATCGCAGCTCTAGTCGGGGAGACTCCTTGGACGGTAGGCGCCACCATGACGATGACGGCTTGGACCGTGAAGACAGCTTGGCGGACAAGGAGAACATCAACGTTGAGAGTTACAAGTCTAGCAGGCAACGCAGGGAAGAGCGAAGGAGGCAACGATACGGCGACATGGGTGGGCTGGGAGAAACGGCGGAGTTTGACAAGGTATAGTTCTTAGCTGTTCTTTTTTTTTGTGTTTTGTCTTTCCACGATGACTTGTGTAAACCATGATATTACCCTGTTTTACGACTGTTGAATGTGTTAACGAACATGATTGCTGAATGATATTTTTTTTCTCTTCCATCGTATAGGAACCAAGAACCTCCCAAGAAAACGATCGAGACCAGTCTTTTTTAGTCGAGCGCCCCGAAATGCCAGCAACGGACGACGCAGGTGATTATGATGGTGCTTCGGGGCCATCCTCTTCGATGGATGTAGAGAGAATGGACTTGTGGCTGGGCTCTATCCCACGACGGCCTAGGAGCCACTCGACATCGCCGCCGTCTTCGCAAAAGATTGTCACCGACTCAGCTCCGAGATCCATCTCCCCTGGTCCAACATGGGAGCGCGGCGAGGATGGTATGTCCCGGCCTCGACGCCCATCAGACCTGCGCTTCGTTGACTCACCTACCGCGGTACCACTGCATTTCCGTCCACCACCTACTTCACCAAGGCTCCAGCGATCGCCATCTATCACCTCGCCTACGGCAGTTTCTCCTAGCTCCCCTAGCCAGGGACGTCGAAGCCGACCAAACTCGTCCGAGTTCAAGAACTCTCGTGAGATTCGACCCCTCTTCCTCGTGGAGCGGCACGGGGCCAGCAAGATTGACAACCAGCTAGACGAGCTGCTGCCTTCCCTGCCGTCAAGCAAAAGCGCCTCCTCTGAAGACCTTACTGCTCTTCCCGATGAGCACGCCTGGGAGTCTCAGGAGTACAGCCGTGGCTTTTACGATGCCCACCAGCCTCAGGAATATCATGGCCAGGAGGGGTTAGGTTCCCAGCACACTACACCTACCCGGGCAGCCTTCAATCTTCCCCGCCATCTTTCTCGGAAGGACGAGCTGGGCTACGAATTTCACTCACCTTCCGAACTGTTGCAGGACCTCAGCTCTTTCCCTGATCTGCCACCTTCGCCGGGGATCCTGCCTTCCGTTGAGGGATCAACGCTCTGGGTCAAGGAGGATGACCGCTTGGAACGCGACCTAGAGAGTCTACCTCCGCTCCCTGTGTCTCGGCCGTCGACACCAGAAGACAAGTATATCCCTGAAGTCGAGCAAACCACACCGACACAAGCCAAGGAACTCCCAACAACCGATATTCCTGGTCTCCATGAGGGTCCAGGATTCGCAGGTGTCGTTGACGCTGCAGTTGCCGCAGCCGTCGCCTCATATCCCCTCCAACCCTCGGACAGTGAGGCCCCGTACCCTGACCGAGACACCCTGGCAAAATCCCAATTCCACGACGCCGAAGACGAAGACGCCGTCCGAACAGTCACCGGCAACGATGCCCCAGTACTAGCCGATTTCTCGCCTTCCCGAACTCCGACCGGCAACAATGACCGCTCGGGACCTTTCGATTTCGGCGCCGTCGTTGATGCCGCTCTAGCCGCCAAGGGCGTCACGGGCACGGGCACCGATGACGAGCGCGCTCCATCTGTCACCTACACGACGGAAGATGAGTTCTTCGATGCCACAGGCTCACCTGCTGTGACGATTAGCCGCGATGAGTTCGAGTTTGTCAATGCTGAAGAAGCAAGAGGCTACGAAGGTGGCCCTGGGGCGGAGACTCCGACGACTGTGACTGGGGATGTCTTCGAAGATGTACTTGAGTCCAGACGCGCTTCAGAGGTGGAACCCACGCCGGAACAAGAGCGAGCGCTACATTTTGAACCGGAGGTCAAGGCTGTCAAGGCAGAGGAGCCGCCGGTAGCAGAGCCGGAAACCGTTGTGGCGCCTGTAGAGATTGTTCCCGAAGTGGCAGACAAGCCGACCGAGGAACTCTCTACACCAATTGAGGCGGCGCTCGAAGCACCAGTCGAGAGACCGACCGAAGCATCAGTTGAAACCCCAATCGAACCTGCAGTTGAGGTACCAGTTGAAGAACCTGTCGAAGTGCCAGCCGAGGAACCTAGCGAACCTTCATCGTCTTCGAAGAAGAAGAATAAGAAAAAGAAGAAGAAGGGCAAGAGCGTTGATCTAGGTGACCAGGGCGAGGAGAAGTCACTTGAGACACCGGCAGCTGAGGCCGCACCTGAGCCTGAGGTTCAGCCCGAGTTTCCCACTGTTGTTTTGGATGGCGAGGTGAAGAAGGATGAGGAAGTTCTTATTCCTTCTGAGCCCGAAGCTCAGCCTGAAATCGTTCCTGAGGTTATGACTGAGACCGTTGCCCCCATCAAAGAGCCTAGTTTTGCTGAACGCGATGTTACGACTGAGGATGGCCAACTTCCCCGTGAGATCCAATCGGACGCCACCGAGCTTGAGAAGGCCGGTGAACCCCTTTCACTCGAGGAGGCTGCACCCCCACAAGATACTCCTCCATCGGTCGAAAACAAGCGCGCCGAGGACGTCTACGCCTCTCCACTCGCCGAATCCTCAACACCTGACGAGGCGCTGCGATCCCAGGTCCCGGAGGTCCCGGCGACAGAAGAGCTTCCTGCAGCACAGGATACCCTGATTCGTCCGGAAGAAGAGACAACCGTTCCCGCTGCAGAGACACTTGGTGAGGGGATTAAAGAAGCGCCCGCCGAGCCACTTACACCAGCAGATATTGAACCAATCCAACTTCAAGAGCCTGAAGAACCCGCCTCGGATGCTGGCCTCTCCAAGAAAGCTAAGAAAAAGAAGAAGAAGAAGGCTGCCGCTGCTACCGCCGCGGCGGCTGCCGTAGCTTTGAAGGAGTCTCTTGACAAGCAGGAGCCTGCTGAAGACCCTACTCAGGCTGAGGATGTTACGGGGTCTGAAGAGAAAGGACCTGTTGTGGCAGATGAGGTTACTGTACCTACAGAGCCTACCGAATCTACACCTGCTCCCGAAGACAATACAGCGCCAGTTACAGATCAGGACGCTTTGGTACCCGAGGAGGCAGTGCCTGCTAAGGATGCCCGTCCCGAGGAATCCTCAGATCGCCATGTCGAGCCCACGGAAGTGCTCGACGCAGACGCACCTAAATCTACTGAAGAAATCTCGAAGTCTCACGTCGAGCCCGTGCCCACCGCAGGAGACGTCTCTCTAGATGTTCAAGACGCCCCTCAGCTAGAGAAGGATATGGAAATCGCGGCTACCGATGACAAGCAAATCCCTGTTGACGAGATTCGGCATCTTGAAGATCCAGCTGTGCCTACAGAAGAGCCAACGGTCGCGCGTGAGCTTACGGAGACAGCAGTCGAGGAGCCGAAGCTTGAGCCGGAGCTGAGAGAAGAGGTTGCCTCCCAGGAACAAGCAGCCGAGAATGAGCCTCAGACCACCCCTCAAGGATCGGCCGATGCACTCCGTGTGCCTGGCGAGCCTGGCCAACAAGAACAAGACTTGTCTCTACCCACCGAGGTCACTACTCTTCCGGTGCGAGCGGAGGAGGTGACCGAGCAAAAGCCTGAAGAAGAGGTCTCCCAACGGGAAACAGAAGCCTTCGAACCTTCTCTCTCGCGCAAGGCTAGCAAAAAGAAGAAGAAAAACAAGCGCAAGAGTACTGCAGAGCCGGAACCAGAAGCCGAGACAAAACCACAGGCTCTGGAGCCTCAAGCTCAACCTGAGACGTTGGAAAACTTTGAGCTTGAGCCCGAAGCAAAACCTGTTTCAGTTGAGGATGCGCCCAAGTCGAAACAGGCAGAGGAAGTCTCTGATGTTACGGAAATTCCTGCTGAAGAGAAACCTGGAGAGGTTGCACCTGAATCTGTTGTCGTTGTCGCTTCTGATGATGCGGAGCCTACCTTGGTCGAAGAGGATTCTAAGGCTGGGGACCTAGAAGAGACTCCCGTCGAGCCAGTTGCCCAAGAACCTGCTCTTGAAGTCGCAGATGAGGTTCAGGCTGCAGATGAACCTGCCAAGGTAGAAGAGACACCAGAAGAGAGCGCGGAAGGACAACCCAAGAAAAAGAGCAAGAAAAAGAAGAACCGCAAGTCTACCCTAGTGTCTGAACCTGAACACGAATCACAGCCTGAGCGTGAGCCCGAAACGAAGCCTGAGGAACCGGTTTCTACCACTGAAGAGGCTGTAGCCCCGCCCGAAACAAGCGGTCAAGCACCCCAACCACAGCCCCTCGATGACAGCGAACAGCAACTCCAAGAACAGCAGGAAGACGCAGGTACCGCAGACACTCAGGCTATCTCTGCACCCCTCGAAAAACTGGACGACGAACCAAAATCTGTGGAGAACGCCGAGACCAATGATAGCGAACCACATGTGCCCGAGCAACCAACAGTCGAGCCTGAAGCGGGGGAACCGTCTTCCTTGACAGGGAAGAAGAGCAAGAAAAAGAAGAATAAGAAGCAAAGCGTTTCCGTGCCTGCTGAAGAAAGCTCAATTCCCGACCTTGCTGCCGCCGCCGCGGAACTTGCGCCTCAACCAGAGACATCTGCAGCAGACGAGCCCGCACCCGATGCAGTCTCTGAACCGGTGACCGAGACACCTGTCGCGCTGGAAGAACAATCAACTGCAGAGCCCATTGTTCAAGAGCCGGCCGAAGAAATGTCACGCGACATTGACGTCCCTGCCGAGTCGAGCGAGGTTCCTATCGCCGAACAGCCCGAACCAGCTGAAGCCGAGGTGGAACAGGAATCGGCTCCTCCAATGACTGCCGCTCAAAAGAAGAAGGCAAAGAAGGACAAGAAGAAGCGGCAATCGTTAGCCGCCGAGGAACCTCAACCAGAAGCTGTGCCTTCTGTGCCCGTTGTCGAGAAGGAGTCGTCCGATGTTCCCGCCGAGACTCCGATTCAGGACGGCAAAGCTGCTAAGCCTGAGCCTGGGCAGGCGGACGTGGTTCCCGTAGCGGAACAGACTAAGGAGTTGGCCGCAGAGCAAAGCGAAACCGACGACAAGGTACCGGAATCGTTAGAATCGGTTGCAGGAGCAGTGACAGAGCATAGCCCAGAGGAGGCTCAGGAATCTGTTCCAGAACAAGCACAGGCAGAGGCCAAGGACGAGCTAGTTATCACCAGTGAGGCAGATACCACTAAGTCTCCAGAACTGCCTTCCATTGCCGCGTCTGCTCCCGAAGAACCTACGACAGAGAGTCAGCCAACCTCAGAAGAGCAGAAGATCCCTGGGCCAGATAGCTCCGCCATTACTGAAACTACGTTCCCAGAAGGCGAGGAAACGACAAGAGTTATCTCCATCCCTTCAGACGCTGTTGACCCTAAGGCAGACGACAGGTCCTCAGACGAACAACCCAGGGGCGAGCCCATTTTAGATGCTGAGCCTGTTGTAGATCCTGCGATCGTCGAACTCACCGAGGACATCCAGGATGAGATGCCCGAGGAGCCACAAGCGATTGCAGAATCTGTTCCGGAGACGCCGACGGAAGAAACTCAGCCTATATCTTCTAAGAAAGACAAGAAGAAGAAAAAGAAGAAGCGCCAATCGGTCTCCGCTGACGAGCCTGTACCTGAGGTTACGGCTACGCAAGAAGTTGAACCCTCCGAGAGTCCCGCCGAACAGCCTGCTTCTGATACAGCGGTTGTGCCCGATGAGCCGGTGGAGACTCAAGCAGAGCCTGCTGCAGATAGTGTGGAGCCTTCGCAGGAGGCAGAGCAAGCTGCCGAGCCCGTTGTTACTCCTGAGGCTACTCCCGAAGGTGCGAGTGAAGAACAAGCCTCTGTCCCTCTAGATGAGGATATCCGTGAGCCACCAACGGAACCCGAACCCGAACAGCCAGCCGTTGCTCAACAAGATGCCGCTTCGATCCCTGACGACCAAGAAACACCCAAGAACTCTATCTCTGAAGAACCCGCCGCAGCGCCGGGGGCGATCGAACCTCAACAACAGGAACAGGAACAGCCAGCAGAAGACCCTCAGACCACATCCTCAAAAAAGAAGAACAAGAAGAAAAAGAAGAAGAGTCAATCTTCCGCTATAGAGGAGGAACCGCATACTCCTACCGCTGAGGGACCTATTTTAGCTGAACCAACTGAATCCATCACAGACTCGCCTGTCACCGCCGAACCAGAAGAGGTGGCTCCAGAGGAGTCTCCAGCTTCCGCTGTTGAAGAGTCCCAGCCGGCTGTTGCTGAATCCGCGGACCCTGTTCCCGAAACCCCTGTTGCGGAGGAAAAGGAGCCCGAAGTTCCGGATGCAGCACCTGCCGAGGAGGTTCAGACAGCGTCGTCAAAGAAGAAGGCGAAGAAAGATAAGAAAAAGCGCAAGTCTGTTTCGTTTGCGGCTGAGGAACCTTCTCAGTCTGCACAACTATCCGAATCAACTGAGCCTGCTGAGACTACAGAAGCTCCGGTGTCTGATGCGCCTGAAGATCCTGCAGAGCATCAGGATCAGCCCACGGCGCCTTCTGAGCAGGCCGAGGAACAAAAGTCCGAAGAACCAGTCCTGACCGACGCACCAACACCTGAAGCAGAACAAAGGGAATCATCAATGGAGCCCCAAACAACCACCGTGCAAGACGTCGCAACAGATACCCCTTCAGACGAACAATCCAAAGACGAACTTGAGGCTTCTGAGATCACGGAGGAACCTGTCCCTTCTGCAGACCCTGAGCACATGGACGCTGCGAAAGATATAAGTGAAGCCAATAATACCGAGGCTAATTCAGAGCCTGAAGTATCTGAGCCTTTCACTCCTGTGGAACCAGCCACCGAAGCCGCTGAGTCCGAAGCGGAAACTCCCAAGTCAAAAAAGTCCAAGAAAAAGAAGAAGCGCAAGACGCTCGAGCTGAAGGAGGATGAGCCTACCGTCCCTCTAGAGGCTCCCGAGCCTGCCGAGTCTTCCGAGCGCAACTTACCAGACTTGACCGAGACGCCCACCGCCGAACCTGATACCACACAAGTCGAGGAACCCGTTCCAGAAGCCGCCCCCGAACCAGCTTCAGAGCCCGTCGAAGAGCCTGCCCCAGAAGCTGAAATGCAAGACGACGAACCGAAGTCCGCCAAAGCAAAGAAAAAGGCCAAGAAGGAGAAGAAGCGCCAATCCAAGCTCCTAGCTGCCGAAAGCGAACCCTCGACACCGACCGAAGAGAAGCCTGAAGAGCCTGCTACGCCCACCGAGCCGACTGAGATCGCAGCCGAAAAAGCGCCCCTTGAGACAACCGAAGAACAGGGCCCGGATACCCAGATCCCCACTGAGACGGCAATCTCACCTGCTGAAGATGACGGTAAAGATAATCAGTCCCACGACACCGGATTCCACGCCGATACCGATAAAGATTTGACTTGGACTGATCACGATGTGTCTTCGCAGGTAGAGCAGCAACAAACGGCTTCCACGGAGCCCGAGCGTGAGCGAGAAGGTGTCGAGGGGGCGGGGGTCGCCGAGCCGGTTGAGGAGACCATTGTCCAGGTTCAGCCTGAAGTGGTAGAAGAAATCCAACAGCCGTCAGCTGACGTAGAAGCGTCCGGCGACGTGGATGGTGAAGACAAGAAGGATGTTGAGAATGAGATGATTCCAAGCGTGGAAGTAGCGGAAGCGAGAAACAAGCAGGTGGAGAACCTTGTTGCTTTGGAGACGGAGGTGCCAATCGAGACCGAGACGGTGCCCGAGAAAGATGTTCAACCCATCGTCCCTGAAGTCGCAGACGCAGTCGAAGAGCCAATTGCGACGGGGACAGTGGAAGAGCCGGCTTCACAACTCGAGCCTGAACCTGTTCTGGAAGCCGAACCCAGCGCACCAGCAGCCGAAGCCGAAAAGCCCGAGTCCGGGCTCCCGACAAGACAATTGAGCAAGAAGCAGAAGAAGAAGCAGCGCCAGGCTCAGAAGGCTGCTGCTGAGGAGGAACAAGCAGCCACAGCGCTTCACGATGACAGCGAAAAGCCTGCAGAGGCCATTGCAGCAGAGGAGCAACCTGCTGGACCTGTGATTCCCGAGGAGACTGAAGATAAGGCTATAGTCTCGGAAGTGTCCATCGCGGACCAACAGGTGCCAGCTACTACTTCGGAAAACGACAAGAAATCCGTTGAAGCTGCGGTGGAAGCTGCGACAGACGAAGCTCCAACCTTCGATGTGGTTCAAGAGGGAGCTCCAGTACCTGAGACCTTGCATGAACAGTTAACTGACGCGTCCCCTGAGGAGACTCAAGTACCTGCAGAGCCATCTCCGATCATGGAGTCCAAGGATATCGCTGCCGACGTGGCTGAGCTTGCAGTGCCATCCGGCTTTGACACTTCACCACAAGACCAGGCCATGTTCCGGCCAACGGAGCTTGAACCCGTCGTCATCGGGGAAGGCGAGATAGACAAGGACAAGAACGAGGAAGTTGCCGTCGAATCAACACAGGAGGACGAGCCAGTCGCTGTGCCAGAGCCCGTCCACATTGCGCAAACTGTCACTCAGGAAGCACCTACAGCCTTGGAAATGCCTGAGGAAGATGTTCCGCCACCAAGCCAAGACGCGGAGGAGCCTTCTACAGGATCAAGCAAAAAGAAAAAGAAGAAGAACAAGAAGAAGTCTGCAGCCCAAATCGCTGAGGCTACCAAGGAGGCTCCGGTGACGGCTCCTGAATCGGATGTGCAAGCTGAGATTGTCGAAGAGGCGCCGAAGGATAAAGAACCAGAACCCGTCCCAGCCTTATTCGAGGCCCCTGAGCTAGAAACACAGCCTGGAGTAGCTCGAGAGATTGCGGCGGAACCCTTCGAACCTCAAGCAACTGAGTCGACCCCTGCGGATATTCACGATGGACCGGAACAGCCAATGATTACCAGTGAGGTTGTGGAAGACGTCTCCCCAGCGCCTATTTTGGAGACAATTCCCGTCGACATGAGTGGACAGGAAGACCAGTCAGAAACCACCAGGGAAATTGAACAGATTCCCCAGGCACAGGTCGCAGAGCCAGCTCTAGAAGCCGAAACGACCAAGGAAGAACAGCCAGTACTTCTGGCTGAGCCAGCCTTGGAGACACCACCCGAAGAGAAGACAGTCGAAGCTCCGACTCCTGTTGAAGAACCGACGCTTAGCCGGAAGCAATCCAAGAAGCAGAAGAAGAAGGCTAAGAAGCAGGCTAAAGAGCAGCTAGAGGAGTCCTCTCCTCCTGTCGCGGCTGAGGCAGAGAATGTGACTTATGATGCTGTTGCTGGTGCAGATATCAAGATAGGAGATATTGCCGAGGCGAAAGATGTGCCTGCTGTGGAGCATTATGTGTTCCCAGAAGTTAGGGAGAGCAAGGAGAAAGATGGTATGTCTGGCCCGGGTGAGGTGGAGCAAGGATTGGGTCTACCTGAAGAAAAGTTTGTCCAGGAAAAGCTCCCTGAGGAGAAGGCCATAGAGGAAGTGGTCGAGGCGCAGCAGAATGATGAGGCAATTGAAGCTTTGCCTTTGGACGTCAATTCAGAGAAAGAGCTAGACTTCCCACAGGAAAGCTCTGTGCAAGACAAGACCGAGATTGCGGCAAATTTGGACACTCTAAAGGATGATCAGGTTGAAGTACCATCTGTTGCTCCACAAGAAACCGAAAAGGAGCCGGAGGTGCTAAGGGAAGAGCCTGTTGAGGAGATAAAGGTGGACGAAATGACCGAAAAGGAAGTGGAGAGACATGTTCTCGAGGAGCGACCTACAGAACAGGATATGGACCCGGAAGTTGCTGAGCCTGTCACGGAGACGGAGTCGGTAGTAGTTGAGAGAGAGCTCCCAGCCGGCCCGGAGCCGGAGCCGGAACCCGAGTTTGCGCCTGTCTCAAGAAAGCTGTCGAAGAAGGAGAAAAGGAAGCTCAAGAAACAAGCTGAGACAGAAGTGGCAAAGGTTGAAGATGAAAAGGAGGAAGCAGCTGCGGAACCTGTGGAACCAGCCAAGGATATCACTATTCCACAGGCTGCATGGAAGCCAGTTGAAGAGCAGGAAAAAGAGTTACCGCTGGAGACTAGTCGGGAGCGCTCAGCTCCAAGCGCCGAGCCAGAGATTGAGATGAAGGAGCAAGAGGTTGAAATACCAGTGGAACCTGTCGAAGATACCCCAATTCAACCGGACCTCGAGGGATCCAAGGGCATTGAGCCGCCAACGGAGGATGCGCCTCCCCTCTCAAGAAAGCTTTCCAAGAAAGAGAAGAAGAAGAAGCGCAAGGAGAGCAAGGTCGAGGAGCCTCTGGAAAGCGAGCCCATTCCGGAACCCGCAGACCTGCCTGAGCAGACAGTTGACAAGTCCCTCGAGCCAGTCGAAGTGCAAGAGGCTCGTCATGACGACGACGCATGGCCTCCGATAGACTGGGCAAAAGGTAAGATTGATGCCATTGAGCAGTCTTCCCAATCGTCCGATGAAGCTCATGCGGGCCGGTTTGAACCAGAAATCCCCGAATTCAAGGAGTCCGCCATCCCAGAGGCTCTGATGGAGCGCCCTGGCGAGACGCCACAGGAGGCAGCCAAAGAAAGCAGAGCTCAGCCAATGACTGGGACAATTGAGCGCGACGTGACAACAAGGGATTTCCACACAAAGTCCAGCGAGTCGGCGCTGCAAACTCTCCATGACGTGGAGAGTTCCTCTGAAAAAGCAGAATCCAAGCCAAGCAAGATTGCCAACATCTTCCCAAATCTTGAGCGAGGGTTCTTTCGCCGACCGAGCCCGACACAGTCGGTAAAAGATGGGGCTGAGGAAGAGACCATGGATGAGGCGATTCGCGACAGCGCGATCCAGGTCTTGGAAGCTCCCATCGCCCGAGAGGTAGAGATGCCAGTTGATCTCAGAGACAGTGGGTATATCCCTAGTCCTGCCCTTGCTCAGGACGATGTCTTCGGCATTTCTACGACAAGAGATCTACCGTCTACAAAGATTGAGATGCCCGTGCAACCGACATTGGTTCCCGAGCGAGGATCTCGGTCGATTGAGGGTACACAAGAGTCAGCGAGTCCCTGTGATCTTCGCCGTAGCCCGTCAATTCACGGACGGCACGAACAACAAGGACTGCCTTGGTCTCTCGAGGAGACTACAGAAGCTGGGTCGAAGCGAGACCTCTCGCCCCCAAGGCCTCTCCATCTCGTCACAGAGCAAGAACCTGAGCGATCCGTGGTTCGAGACGGGACGCCCCGGCTGGAAATAAAACCGGAGCATATACTTCCTCGACCAGAAACCCCCGTCCGCAAATTCACAGAGACTGCGCTTGGACGCCGCGCATGGCCTACACCCGACAATTCAGACGACGACTGGGAGAAGATCGAAAAGCCCAGCCCGCGACTGTCTCCAGATCGCGGCATGCGACCGGGGATCCTCAAAACTCCAGAACACGATAAGCCGGTGCTGCGACCGAGCGGCTCAGCCAGCGCGAAGAGCAGCTCACATTCGCTGAGACGGGTCGTGCACAGCGCCAGTGGAGATCTGCGAGCAGCAGCACTTGCAGCGACTGCAGCGACTGCAGCGACGGCGACTGCGATCGCGATTGCAGGCGAAGCGCCCGAGGGGGAGCGCCAATCACGGCCGAGGACGCCCCAGCCACAGGCTCCAGCCGCGTCTCGTTCCCCCACCGACCTGAACGTCGAGCGCATCGCCTCCTCCTCTTCCTACGACCCCGTCACCGACAAGGGCAAACAGCCCGTTCGCAGCATGACGGATGTCTATGTAAGTTGTCACCCCTCCTGTGGTTGATTTACACCATTTTCGCGATGAAATCGATGGTGGCTCGGTTTGTTTTGATGACTTGGTTGCTAATTGGCTCAGGAGGGCTGGGGCGAGACACCGAGTTCCCCCCGGTCGCCTAGTCGACCGCCCAGCATCCGCCACCGCCGGAGTATGCAACACCTCCAAGAGCTCGAATTCCGCCTCGACCACTTGATCGCAGAAAACCGTGAACTCGCTGCCGCCCGCGATGCCGCCGAGAGTAAACTACGCAGCGCGAGCCTCGCTCGTCGCAAGAGCGACCAGGCGCTCAACACCCGTGACGCCGACCTGCGCGATCGCGAAGCCGACCTAGATCAACTGAAACAATCCGTCGAATGGTTCCAGAAGGAGGTTGCGCGACTCAATGAAGAGAACACGGGGCTGACGACTGCCAGCGCTGCCCTCATCGCCACCCACACACGCGAACTGCAATCCGTACGACAAAGCTCGACTCTCGAGCTCGAGCAATTGCGGTCGCAAAACGAGCGTCTATCGGGCGACCTCCATGAACGCATCAAACAAGAGATTGAAACGGCGCTGGCACAGAAGAACGCTGAACTTCGTCGTCTGCGCGAAGAGTTAGAGAGCGCCCGTGACAAAGTCAAGGAACTGCAGCAACAAATCTCGGCCTCGATGAACGACAATGTTATCGCCTTCCGCGGTGAAGACTACTTCGAGGCCGCATGTCAGAAGCTCTGCGGCCATGTGCAGCAGTGGGTCTTGCGCTTCTCCAAACATTCCGATCACCGTCGCTGCCGCCGGCTCATCGACGTGCAAGACGAAAAGATCGCCGACCGCTTCGACAATGCCATCCTCGACGGCTCCGACACAGACGCCTACCTCGGCGACCGGGTCCGGCGTCGCGATATTTTCATGTCCGTCGTCATGACTATGGTGTGGGAGTTCATCTTCACGCGCTACCTCTTCGGCATGGACCGCGAGCAGCGACAAAAACTCAAGTCGCTCGAGAAACAACTTATCGAAGTCGGCCCGCGCAACGCAATCCACCGCTGGCGCGCCACAACACTCAGCCTCCTCGCGCGCCGACCGGCCTTCGCGAAACAGCGCGAAAATGACACCGAGGCCGTCGCCCTCGAAATCTTCGACACGCTCTCCCGCCTCCTCCCACCCCCAAGCCAGGTCGAGTCGCAACTCCTCGACTCCCTCCGCAAAGTGCTCCGCGTAGCCGTCAATCTCTCCATTGAGATGCGCACGCAGCTAGCAGAATTCATCATGCTGCCTCCCCTGCAGCCAGAATACGACACCAACGGCGATCTCGCGCGCCAGGTGTTCTTCAACGCCTCGCTCATGAACGAGCGCAGCGGCGAAACAACCTCCAACGACGAACTGCAGGCGCAGAATGCTGTCGTCCGCGTCGTCCTCTTCCCGCTCGTCGTGAAGAAGGGCAATGATGTCGGTGAAGGCGACGAAGAGGTCGTCGTCTGCCCTGCCCAGGTCCTCGTTGCGAGACCTGGTAAGGAGCGCCGGCTCAACAAGATGACCAGCGGGGACCGCATGTCTGTTGAGGCGAGTCGGTCGGTGCATAGTATTGCGCCGTCGACCATGGACATGAGTATGAATATGAGCATGAGCAATGTGATCTAGGCGTCACACTAGATCTTGTTTCTCTGCTTCGTTCTGCTCTGGTCCCCTCTGTTCCGCCAGAAAAAAAGATAATTTGTTTATGGCGTTGGTGCTTGTTGATGTGACGAATATAATGGGTTTCCTTTTCTTGCTTTTTTAATGCGCTTTTTCCTTTTTCTATTTCGTTCTTACGATTTACGATTGTCTAGATGACGACGTTACGGCTGTACCTGTGTACATAATATGAATTACTATTTTACTATAAACCATCCCCCTTATTACGGTGTACAAGTATTCAAGAGTAAATAAATCATCTTTTCGATTCGATTCTGCCCGACTTCTCTTCTACTCTCACGCAATCGCCCTAAATCCACCTGTATGACTTCGCCAAGAACCCCACGGCTCGACATACAAAGTATGCATGTACACAAGATCAAGCCTGCAGCTCTGTATACACATGCTCAAGCTCACGATTCCTCACAGGTTCAAAAGGCTCGCCTCCCACGAAGACCGCACTAACCCTCCTAGCGCCGATTTGATTCCCAAGGCCCGGCAGCGACAGCGACAGAGACAGCGGCCCCGGCCCTGGCCCCGGCCCTGGCGCTAAAGGCGAAGGCGAAGGCGAGGAACCGGACGAAGGCCAATGCCACCGCCAACACCAGTTCCAAATCACACCCCAAGTCCGCATCATATACGCGCGGAAATGCCAGAGCACCCAGACAAGAACGGTGCCGAGCGTGAGAGATACCGTCACGGCCCAGTAGAGCCAGAAATCAGACGAAACGGTCCAGTCACCCTTAAGCGAATCACTGGAGCCGCCTTGGAAGCTGAAGAAGTTTGTGCCAAATATACCCTGCGAATAAGTGTTAGTGCTGGCAAGCAATGCCTTTCGCTTTTGTGGCAGGTTGACGTACGGAAACAAATGTCCCTGGCAGATACACCAACCCGACTATACCCAGCGCCTTCATCATCCCGCTATCGGAGCGGGCATCTCGACCTAATGCTTGGGAGACCAGATTATACGCCTGGATATAACGTCAGCTGCACATCCATAGGGAACACATGCACACTATCGCTGGAACAAAGGGCAGTTGCAGGCGGAGGCTAGTCCCTACCAAGCTAATCTCATTGTTAAGCCGTCCCTCCAACGATTTCGACCGCGTCTTCAACGAATGAATTCCCTTTAGCAGGGCGAGCAGCCGGGACTGTGCATCTAGCCAGAGTTCTCGAATCTCCACCACGGTAGTTGGGTCTTCGGTCCGCCAGCGGATCTGCTCATCTACCATGCATTGAATGGTATGCTCGGCGGACTCGAGCGTCTCGTTGATATGGATGACGTGTCTGACAATGTCGTGAATGGTACGGAAGCCTGATGGTTGGTGGATTCCGGGCGGTGCAGACTGGGGTCGTAGGATAGGGTCAGTGGTCGGGATATAGAAGGGTCACTTCAGTTCGTGGGTTGACGTAATGTACCTTTTCAAAGTTGCGCACCAGGTCCCTCGATAGCCAGAAACTCGTGTCGAATTTCTCAAGAATCTCCTGCGCGAAGACTGTATGCCACAGAAACAAGTTGCGATCCCGATCAGAGCGTTTCGGAAGGTTCTTGAGAAATGCGCTCTGCTGGTCCAAGGGGAGAAAGTCTATAAGCCAAACAATTTGTCTTCCAGTTCCAGAACTCCTCTTAACAAAGAAGGTAGGCTGTTGCCAAGCGTAAGTCCCAGCTTCGTAGACAAGCTTCACCTTGAAAGATGCCCAGGAAACTGAATAAAGGTTAAAATGGGTAGTAAGGATTGACGTAAGGGTTGCTCATGACAGACCATCTGGACGTGTCTTGGAATCAGCGCAGCTATAATGGCAGTAGAAAGAGCCGGCGATATCTGCATCAACCACGGACCAGAATTCCTTTGGAAAATGCGACCTGTATTGGTCAAATCTAGGGAGATCAGAGGAGGCGAAACTGTTCTCTAGTGATTAGCGACAGGCCCGGGAAAATAGGCATCTGAACCTGTACATAACAAAGTTTGAGTCGGTCCGCCTCTATACAGCATTTGCTCGCAGGTCAGTCTGATTTTATGGACCAGGTTAGTTGCCTTAACATATGGGTCCCCACCTCCAATACTTCCAGATCCCACCCACAAAGCTCCCAATGATCCGGGCCTACTAGGCAGTTCTATTAGTGCATCCCAGGAGAGTTGGTAGTTGGCTCCGTACTCATCTCCTCGAAGAACCGGATTGTTCGAGCTGGTGTGCACATCAGAACTTGGTTGGAAAGCCTCAATTCCACGATGCGATTGCCCGGGAACCAACGCGAGCGTTGCCATCAGACGGTGCTCGCTATATATATATGCTATTATGGGAAGGCTAGCTCTCGCTAATTTGAGCCTTTGGGGGATCCCACATGTAAGTGCTTCTGCCACTGGATTCAGCCAGCTGGCGAGGGGTTCGCCGCGTCTCTATCGATGGCATTGTTGAGCGAGCCAATAGGGAGCGTCTCCCTGGCTGGCGTTCGGGGCCGATCTCGTTTCCGAGTCAGGGAGTCGACAACCTCAGATGCACTCTCCCACTCATATTTAGAGGGCTATTTCGTAGCTCTTCTCAAATGCTTTTATGGCTAGGAACAACTTAATGAGTATGCGTTTGTTGCGAAGGTCGGAACGGAGCCTTGGGCAGCCGCATAAAAAGGGTCTAGCACCCACGTGACTACATTTCCCTTCAGCGAGATCTTTCTTAACAGTCCAAGATGAAATCAATTGCGTTCTACGCGCAACACGATGCATGGCATATCTGCTCTCCTTTCAGTCCCAATTAGATGTACGAGACTTGCCTCGGCCGAGCTTCCAAAACGCAAGTCACACCCCAGCCGAGCCCTAGACAACCCAGTAACAGACAACACACCCAGCCGGGGCAGGATTTCATTCTGCACCGCAAAATCGCGCCCATAGGACGCCGAAATGGCTCTTGAGCCACTATACTGAAGTATTGTCAGTGGATCTAAACTCCCAGTCAATCAAAGCCCCAACGGTCATCTGTCACATAGCGCACATCGAGGTCAACGGGACCCTTGACACCCTTTGACGCGCGCACCAGTTGTCGTGGCCATATTCATAGGCCCACAGGGCGGGAAGCCATATGACAGTTGGCAAATTTCATGGGCGGAGCGTACAGAGACGTCCAGGGCGGCCACGATGTCTACATGCTCGGCGTCTAAGGGCCTCGGTGACCCGCTCTGCGAAGGGTTATGGGCGCATTGGCCGCACGCTTCTTGCCGCTCAATACCACGGCGTTCCATAAAGCAACGACCAGGTGGCTCTAGGGGTCGATGTTGCTCAGTATGGTGACGAGGAAGTTGGGTCGCAGGATGAAGGGATTGGCTTTTTCACCGAATCGTGCGCGGCAGCTGCTTAGTACGCGAGGCCATTCGGAGACCGGGAGAACCGTCTTGTCGAATTTTATCCGAATCGAACAAACCCAGACTTTCGCGGTGGTGTATGGCTGTCGTTGCCGCGTAATGACGAGGATGGTTTCCAGTGCGGCGATGGGCGTAGTGATATCGCGCTTCTGTAACTTTTCTCTGCGGGTACAGCGCTACAAGCGACATATGAGAGCTAACAGGACATCGGATCATTGCGGAGCTGACTGGTCGTTTCCCTCAGAACATGCTTATCCAGCCTGCCCGCCATGGAATCCCTAGTCCGTAAAGATCGCCGATTTGGGCATCAGCAAACGTATCGAGGAAGGCCGTGTACTCACCACAGCTGGGAAAGGGATAGCGGGTTATGTGGCTCCAGAACTCTATGGCTTCCTCAAGAGTGAGGATCCGTACGCCGCCGATATCTGGGCAGTAGGAGAGATCACTTTTCAAGCCCTAACAGCCAAATCTGGATCTGGACTTGCTGGTTCTATTGCTGAATATGTCCAACATGTCGATAAGTCTCCACGAGGCCCTCTTCAAGATTCCTCTTCAAGATTCAGGGCAAGCAGCATCACTATCGAGTGTTTATTGGCCCCAAGTTCGCACCATGGGACACAGTCACATTGAACAAGACATCCTCAACGGCCATTCCTCATAGGCCCAGGAAGTGTATTAGAATGGAACCTCGTAGCCCATACTACAACCCATCGCCAATTCCATCGCATGACCTGCCGTATAAATCTTCAGGAGAAGAGCAACAATCACCCGATTCACTGCATCAGCTCACTACACTGACGTCCGCCGATGCACACCCCAGCACAACATTCAAGTCCAAGCCTCCAGCGGAACCCCGGGAGTCGACGCACTTTGATGATTACCGTGTCGAGTTGAACGAAAGTATTCGTGATCTAGGCCCTATCGCTGGGGGAAAAAAAATGATCAACGACTTGATGCAAGTGATTGAGAGAGGAGACAGGGACGAGAAGGAGAAGGATCAGGTATACACAAATCGCAAGTGAAAAGATTGGATGGGTCGAGGGAGATCTAGATCCATTGGTCTGACCCTGCTGCTGAAGCAGTACCGGGAGCAATCCAAGCAAGAAGCGCGAGAAGAGCGGTGGTTCTGGGATAAATAACCGGGCTTCCGTTGCTGGAGGGTGAAACATGTAGTTACAAAATAGGATAGCTTATTAGCCCAGTCCAGGACAGGACAGGGGCTCCTATACCAGAGCGTATCAAAAGTGGGCTCTTCTGGTATGTAGAGCACACGCCAGATGATCTATTGAGGCGAATGCCCTGATGCCTTGGGCAGAGATTGAATCCCTCCAGAATACGCTATCCGCAAGTGCAGCTCAGCTCTCCAGCATGGTTTTCATTATAGCTTTGCTACGCAGGAGCGTTGGTTATGGCGCTCGTTGAGTTTCCTCGGCCGTGTTGAGACGTCAGAGAATCTGTAGATGAGCCTTCACTGCCCAGGTGCAGTGTTGTGCATATCAAAAAGGCTGCCGGCACGAGGTCGAAGCTCTCAACAGAACATCCCGGCGATAGCTAAAGAACAGAGAACTCGCATTGGAATAGAAAATGGTATACTATACTTTAGAATTTCACTAATAGACACACGCGAACACCCATCACCCACTCACCACATTCCCAGACTCACCCCACAGCACCCCCTCCCTAATCAGCCCTCATCAACTTCTCCAACCGTATCCTCGTCGCGTGCGAAAACCAAGCCGGGAACCCGCGCATACACTTCGCAATCCACCCCGTCGCTCCAGGCAAAATCACATGGCCCGAATTCCCCGTAAGAACCTGATTCACAATCCCCTCGGCGACCGTCTCCGGATGCAGCAGCGGATTCAACCACGTATCCTCCGGGGTGAGTTTATCAATCAGGGCTGTCCGCGCAAACCCCTGTGTGATGAGGACAGTGCGCACGCGCGGCGCGTTGTACCGCGTGACGAGTTCGGCGCCGAGGCCCTCGTGGAAGGCGATTGCGGCGGCTTTGGTCGCGCTGTAGTCGACCATGTTCGGGGTGACGGTATAGCCGGCTTGCGAGGCGACGGTGACGACCATCCCGTGGTTTCGCTTGAGCATGGCGGGGAGGAATTCTTTGGCGAGCCAGTAGTGCGCAAAGGTGTTTACTTCGAACTGCAGGCGGGTCTGCGCCTCGGTTGAGCCGAGGATCGTCCGCGAGGAGCAGATCCCCGCGTTGTTGATGAGGATTGTCGGCTCGCCCATGGTGCTCCGTATCGCAGCCGCAACATCCGCAATCGCGCTCGGCGAGGTGATGTCGCATTTGTGGAACCGCACCGTCGAAGGCAGGGGCTCCTTTGGCGGCGCGATATCCAGAATCGCAACCTTGACCCCCTTGGCGCCCAGGAGATTCGCAACCTGTCGGCCTATCCCATTCGACCCGCCCGTAAGCACGACGACTTCGCGGTTCCAGTCGTAGCGGTCTGCGACGCCGTTGTTGAGCGCGCGCTGGTTGAGGTAGGCGTTTACGCGGCGGAGGACGGCGAGGGAGGCGAGGATTTTCAGGGCCTGGAAGGCTTTTGGGTGCGCGAGCGCGGTCTCTTGGCCTTTGGCTGTGTAGTGTGCGAGGAGGAGGAGGGGGAGAGTCTTCCAGGGGCTGAGGACGGTGCGTTGGAGGAGCTTGCCCACGACGTCGGCTGTGAAGCCTAAACACGAGCTATTTTAGCTATAGCGATCATCAAGTAGGAAGAGAATATCGAGACGAACCTTCTCTTGAGAGCCAGAAACCCTGCGATGCCATCTTGGCTTGGTTCAACTGCAGTCCGGTCGAGTGTTATGCAACTGGGGCGGCGCACGCGGAGTAAGTAGAAACCAAAGCAAAAGAAAGCACAGGGATAATGCAGGGCCGGGGGAATTTATGACGAACAGCGGACAAGAGCGCGAGTCCCCTTTCCAGCTGAATCGCCATGGCCCTTGATGTCTGGGCGAGTCATGAGTCGGCTGAATTTCTCCGCGTTGGTCGATTCTTGCGGGAGTGCGGAGAAATTCATGCGACACCGAGGTTGTGGACTGCACTTTGGCCCTCGTCGAATCACCAGCGGCGGACCGCGGCTCCTCTTGCTGCTAACAAAGAACCATTAGGCCATACAGCAGAAAGGTAAGAGCTCAATGGTAAGGTATCCAATTAACTGACGGCACCCAATCGTATTCGAGCTGGGTATCCTACTAGTTTCGATTGTCCAGCCAGGCTTGAGCCATCCGAGTCGCAACATGGTATTGTAACTTCTGTCAACGCTTTAAAATGCAGCAAAATATCCCGCCCACGCCATAGATATCCGCCTCAGTGCGAGGCTAGTCCAAAACTCCAAGAAAGAAAATAGACTGACAACAATAAATGAAATCGGGTAACAGGTAATATCGCTCACGGATAGCCGCCTTTCCATGGGGATGCATAGGTAATCGAACTCGGACCGGGAATATGCCACCTAAGGGGCCGTGAAAACAAGGCAAACGAACGGCCGTGAAGAGCTCGGTAGCGCAAAGTGATTGAGAGAGGTAGATTGTCGAATGGAAGTGCGTTCGAAATGCACGTTGGAGACGTATGGTGAGAGGTGAAAGTTTGGTTTCAGAGTTGGTCTGCAATGAAGAAGGAGAAGAAATCGAGGGGACCATTATAGTACGACCCTGCGAGAGAGAAAAGTGACGTTGTAATGAACGAACAATTATTGCTAGTAGTCAAGTTATGTCTAGCGTATGCTGTCGTCAGTCCCCGGGCAGGACGGGTGGTTCATGAAAGATCTTCGTATAAATATCCGTGAGAATCTTTGCATCGGCCCGTAAAGTCGGTGAGATGTTTCGGTTTCGCAGTAAAAATGCGATCGTTCTCTTGAATAGTCTGTCGAGAACGTTGCGGTCCACCAATTCAGACAGATGCGGTGACATGTACGTTGTAGACAGCACGAGCATATTCCCAAATTGCCTGGTTCAGAGTCAGTATCAACGACTAACAGATTGCGGAAAGAGGAACATACGCATGAGCAGTGCCAAAAATATTGGTCACCACGGGACGCCCCTGGACCCTGTCAAAGGCCTCTGTACTCGCAATAGCCGCATCCACGCACGTCTTGCACGAGTGCCGGAACTTCTGCGGCAGCTCACGATAGGTTTGGACCCGCTTCTGGTCGAGTCGCGGGCCACCACCCAGGTCGCTTGAGATCCGGGTCATGTCAACCGCAGGCTGATCGTAGGGTGATGTTGAGGGCGCGCCCAATACGGCTGGAGAGTCACTAGTTTTGGGGCCCATATAATGAAGAGCATGGTAGAGAAGCGGCCGATGGATGATGTACCGGGCTCCGTAGTATTTTGCCCTCATTCTGGCAACGTTGATGTCTGTTGATGGGAGATCCTTGTCGTGCCAACGCATTTCGTTGGGGAGACTGGACCTCCAGAGGGAGAGGTTCATGTTTAGGACTTCTTGTATATTGATTGACCACCGAGTCTGTCCTCGTTCTGCAAGATGGAAGAACAATTGTCAGCAAAGGCTAATCACAAGAGTACTAAGCGGAAATCTTACTCTCAACCTTGTACAAGTCCGTGTGAATACGATTGAGAATCTTTCGAAGGTGAATCTGAGCGTGATAGAAGAACATCATCATCGTGTTGGGGGCAGATATGTCGTTTGGCAACGAAATTGTGAATGTGCCATTGGGAGCGTCGATCCGGCTCTCGGAGCGAGAGACCCCACTTGCAGGAAGATCAAGCTCGGCGAGAATATCACTGCACCACGTCAGTCAGTGCAAGAGCCCACAGGATGATACAGAAAAACAAACCTCTCCAGTTGCAGGCAGGTCCAGTACGTGAAATTCACCAAATCCTTCCAACGACTACTCGGTAAGTTGACATATCGTCGCCTGGCATCCACAGTTAGCTGTTTTGACATACCACTATTCCAGATGGGTACACTTACGGGCGTGTAAGTACCAGGCAAGCTCTTGCTGCCTGGGAAATCCAATCGTGGCTCTTAAATGGATGGGCCAGTTGGCCTGTATATAGTCCCGCCAATAGAGCCGCTTGCGCAAATGCAAGACTAGTGGTGCCACTTGTTGCCAGAATCCTCGCCGCAAACGCATACAGCGCCAGGCCGGGAACAGTATCAACATTCTCAAGATGCGGAGGATCGGGAAGAGTGATATACTTGTCATCCGGTGAGGGCATGCTAGGAGATGTTGCTGAGTGGTTCTGGTACGGGGAGTAGAAGCTCTGATTTACTGGCAGGGATTCCTGGTCAGCTGGGGACACAGCTGGTAGTGTTGCTGCCCTGGGTATCGGTTCGTTTCGGTAGTCAATGATACGGTCAGTGCAGGGTCCGCGGATGGGCTTGTCGCGGACTTCGCATATCCGTCCCAGGGCAAGAACAAGCAGGACTACAGCATTCGGAAGTGTGGCTTCCACGGGCATGGTGCTAGCTGGCTGTCCATTTGGCGGCGACGTTTGCAGGGTCTCACCCGATCGCTTGCGTTTGGCTCCCCTTGGGACACTGTGATTGGCAACATGCCCTGGCTGAGAGGGCTGTGGGCAGTGTAACTCAATGAATCGCTCGGTTCGGCGTACGAGGTCTGACTGACTCAAGAATGGATGGAGTTTGTGCAAATGCTCCAAGTAACTCTCCACGTACCGGCGGACGGTAACAGGGTCGAGGTACACCACACCAGCCTCGTCTATACTCTTAATTTCCGGTGGCGTCTCATTATATTTAACGTTGGGGTTCCAAGTACCGTTGGGAGAGCTGGTGTCCGGATAGTTTTCGATCAAGCTGGTGTTGAAGCTGGTTTGTTGAGACGAAGACAACTCTTCTGCATCCAGTTCCTCATCGCCACGACCGTGAATCAACATAAAGGTTCGGGTCTCTTCGAGTTTCATTACATAATCGTCGTCATAATGATGGGGTCGGAGAAGCTTGCTGATCGAAGGCCAGCAGAGCAGTTTGTGTGCGGCGGTCGTATGCTCGACTGGAATGGTGAGACCCCCATCCTCGGCGCCGTCCGGTTCTTGGATAAGATTGTTTACATAGTCGCGGGCGGGTGGAGGGTTGCGCTCTCTGACCATTGTCTGCTCCTTCGGCTCTGTCTTGGTGGAAGACTCTGCGGGATACGACTTCAACGGGGTATTGGTAAGTTGTAACTGCTGTGCTGGTTGTTTACCGTGATTGATAGAGGTGAGAATCTGGGTGAGTAGAGTGTTACTATCCACATGAAGCTTCTCCAGGTGGCTGATCCTCGAATCGATTGCATCGTCCGACTGTTGTATTCGATCCAACACAAGCTGCGTGGACTTTTCTTGCCTATTTCCCTGCCGTTAGATTTTCGCAAGACCAGCAAGTAGCAGGATAACCACTCACTTGTGAGGGGGCACTTCTTTATAGATGCAGGTCAAGTTATTCTCCTTACAATGGCTGCACGACGGCCGCCCCTCATCACATTTGGCTTTCCGTGAACGGCACTGATCGCAGGCCTATTATGGAAAACGGTTAGTTGCGGTGAGCTACAGCCAAGATATAAGCTGTATCATCCTACCTGCTGCGCTCGCGTTGCCTTGCGGTGTCGCATGTTGAATGATTGGCTCTGGTAATAGCTGGAATCGTAAGGGCCCGGTGTGTGCGAAGGTGGTGGCACTGCAGTGGGATACTGAGCCGGTGGTAACGAATTTGAAGGCATCGGAGGTTCACCATTGGTATGGAGAGGTGCTTCTTGCGGCGGAAAGGACATTCGAGCCCTGGTGAAATCAGGAGGCGCAGATAGAGGCGGCGACTCGTGCGGAACCCCGTTCATGGGATGATAATTTGCAGGCGGCTGAGGCGGCTCTACAGGGGCATGTGCCGGCGTCGGCAGACTGGCGGGTCGAGCGTATGGTCCATCAGGAGAAATCTGCGGCAGTTCTCTGCTATGCATGGGCGGATAATTATGCGATCCCAGGGGAGGCTGAGGGGGCCCATTGGAAGTGCGTCGCGGCTCCGAAGGGTGGCCCTCGTATGGAGGCGGATATTGCCGCCATGACTGATCGTACAAACCGGGGGCCGCTGGCAGGCCATGCGGAGTGTCCGGTGGCGGTATGCGATGCATGGGAGGGGGAGCCGGACCTGAGTACTGGGGGAGTGTTCTTGGGTTGTCGTCCATTGGCACCATCTCCATGATCGCAGCTCCTGGATCGCGAGTCGGCGCTCTCTGCGGGCGCAAATCGACGTTAGGCGGTCTATCGAGCGTGATTGTCATACGGTCATGAGGACATGTTGATGCCCATGTGGCACACGGCGGGTGTGTGTACGTTGCGCGACCGGGATGCTGGACGGGCGTGGCTCTCGGGTTCCGAAAGAGGAAATTAGCTGTGAGGCTGGACGCTGGGTGGGGGTGGGGGGTGGGGATCGGTGAAAGGGCGTTCAATTGCTGCGGTCGGACTGGTCTTGTTGTTGTCGAGCCGCGTCTGCTCTTAAGAAGTGGGAATTGCCGGTCGGTTTGCTTCCGCGATGTGTCTGGCACGCGGTTTTGAGGTTGCACGAAGAGGGGTGAGGGATCGGCCAGAAAAAGCGTGGAGCACTGGAGCGAAGGGAGGAGTCTGGAAATGGCAAGACTATGGAATGTCAGTCGGGGAAAAGGGAGATGGACCAGTCAGCAACACTAGCCTCGCAGGCAACTGTCAAAGTGAAGCGAGCGACAGAAAGAAAGGCAAGAGGGAAAAGACAGAAAACGGGAAGGAAAGAGGTGATCGCGATAGTGCTGGAAAGCGACTAAGGTTTTGGCACCCAGGATGGTGGTAAGGGAATAAAACCATGCTAGGGCGGGAATAATAATAACGAGGTGTTAATAGTCGCCGGGGGAGGGGGCCAAGGAGCAGCTAGGGAGTTTTGGGAGTATAGACGGAGGGATTTGTGCTGAGCAAGAGGAAAAGACCGACCAGCCAGCCTCTGTGATCCGCACCGTCGAGGTGGACTCTGGAGGAGCAAAAAGAAACGAGGGCCAGCTGCTGGATTGTGTCCCCCACAGCCTGGCACCTTGAGGAAGAAGGAATTTAGTACGTTTTAGTGCCGAAAAATCAGTGCGAGGCAATAATGTGGAAAGGGAAAGACAGCAGCAGCAGGAATTGGGATGGGCTGAAGCTGGAGCTGCAGTCGTTATGAGAGAACCGAAACACCGCAAGACAGCCAAAAGGGCCTAAACACGGACAAACATGAGAGAGCCTCGACCTTACCAATGGAAAACGCCAGAAGGAATGCCAGATGCCCTCCACAAGAACACGGTCCCAAGCCTCAAGACAGGGGTGGCAGTTGCAGGGCCAGGCAGGAAGGATGACTGGCAGGGCGACTGGAGGTTCAAGCAACAGCAACAACCCAATCTGATCGAAAAAATACAGCAGGCCGATGAGCTCTGGAGTCTGAGGGCAGTGTTGGGGCGGGCAGGCCTGAAGAAAAGACAAGTGGTCGCAGACTGCCGGCAGGTGATCGGACAGTCGTCGATGAGCAATAATAATAACAACTGTTTCAGGCTGGCGCTCGCGCAGTGATGAAAGAGAAATCGAGGATCTCAAAATCCATTATTTTATTTGAGGATGACATTTCCCTTTGACTGCAAATTGCGGGCCTCTGAAGCCACAAAATTGACAGATCGGTTTCTTCGGAGGCGGCCTGCCCCAGGCCTTGATTTGCGATGCCAGCGAATATTTACGAGACGAGTCTTCAAAGTTGAATCTACCAAATGTCGGTCTCTAGATTTGTGTTGAACATGTCTTCCTGATTCGCCAGGATCCCGTCTCCGAATAAAATACACATAAAATACACCAGATTATCTACACTGGCAATGCCACAGGTTCAAAAACAGAGCAGAAAACTTTCAGCAAAGACAAAAGTGGGGAACATTGGGACGGTGGGACTGGCGACGAAGAAATCAAACAGCCATCCAAAAAAAAAAAAAAAAAAAAAACACAAGCAGATCGAGTGGATTGGAGCAGAATCCAATTGCCAGATCAGCCTTGAGCTCTCGCTGACCGATTTTTCTCCAGGGTTGCGGTTGCGGGAGATGGTCTCGTCAAAAGAGGGTGGCTGCCCAAGTCCCGAGGAATAAACGAACCTTGAATCGATCTCGAGATAACGTCTGCAATTCCAGGGCTGGCGACTGCTACGTACGTCTCGAGTGGACGAGCGAAAAGTGCGGAGTCGTCGGCCACAATTCAGTTGGGTACCCATCTGGAGGGTGATCAAACATGATTGATGAGCAAGGGGTATCCCATCTTGAATCATGCCGGTGCCTCACGTCTTCCATACATCATCTGGAAGCTCGGCTCGGAGATGCTCCAACGGTGTATCTGATACAGACACGCTGTCCTGGACTGATGTAATCGCTGATGACATTTGATGTGAGCTGATACTGCAAGTATTGACAGCCTGAAGATGTCGAATTCTCCGGAGACATACTCCGGATCGTTGTATGCAGAAGAGGGGCAGCAATCAAGGGTCAGAATGCGTTCCCTGGTTCGGGTCAGCCGGTCCAACCCAGGAACCAGCAGAGCTTGCCCCAGATCACTCATGCTGGGCTCAGTCAGACAAATCTCGGGTAGATACACACTGAAGGGCGAAAAGCGGGAGAGAGCAGCTGGCTGCTGGAGCTGCGATTGATGTCTACGACAGGACAGGCCCACTCCCATACCTCCAGGACGCTGCGCTGTCTTTGTCTTCAGGAACCACCTCGCCTTGGTACTAGTCCAGGGGTTCCCAATCTGGAGATGTCTCAATTCCACTCGGTCGCCACTGAATTCCAGATCGCAACTCGACTGGAGGACGCCGTTCCAGCAGACTGGGACGGTGAGCTTGCCACTGCGCAGCTTCCGGCCTTTTAGCAACTCACATTCGCATTCTCTTTGTCTCCGTTTGGACGGGGTAAATTGCTGGGCAGGCTCCGACTGGCGACTCGAGCTGATCTACAAAATTAGCTTTTCCTGATCCCGACCCCTGGAACCAGCTTCGGCTACGCTTCGGCTGGTCGCAGCATTCATGGGAGACGGAGGACCCGCCCACAAGTCCAGCAAGTGGCAACAACAGCCTGTCTCAACCTCATTTCTCCCAACTCGCCATACAACGTGGTTTCCGAGCTGCTCATCGAGATGATCCTGATTCCTTCAAGTCATCATGGGGTCACTGCACCCAATTCCAGCAATTCGGTACTCCGCGGGCTGAAATAATCCTTCATCCAAGCCAGGAACCCACCGGACTCCAGCGACCAGGACGCGAAAACGCCTATCAGAATTCAGAATTCTAAACGACTGTTGACTTCATTTCTTGAGGCCTTGTTCAGGACTCATAGACAGTGGGGCTCTAATTACCCAGCTCTCGGGATTGTCCTTCAGAAGAACGGCCGCTGCAGTGTCCACTCTCCTTATCCTGTGTCGTGCAGAAGCAGAAGCAAGGGATGGCCCTGTGCGATCTTTCGTGCAGAAGGCTTGTGAACACATTAAAGAACGGGTGTTTACCACCCCGTAAAGCGAGTATCCGTCAATATTCTAAGCATTAATGCTGGAGATGAAATGGGTGTTTGTCCGCTCGGAATTTCCGGAGGGCGGATTGTCAGAGCTTGGATGACTGAGCGATGCCATCAGCATGACCTGGACACCTCCTGTCGTCTCAGGCAAGTCTCGTCTGATACTCCGTAGTCGACCTACCTTTTTTCAACTCTGGAGAGTGGCGGTCACTCGATCAACAAAGGATCTGGTCGCTGGAGGCGAGAATTCCGGGCAATTTTGTAACCGTCACGCCGGAACTCTAGCCTCTAGGCAGCGTTAACTTGTTTCGGTAGTAAATTGCCGAACCCAGACTGCAAGTTGTAAATCCTCAGCGGAGCAACCGTCTTACTCCGCCTTACTGCCTCCAGTTCACGCGGCGTTTTCCCAGTTCCCTGCTGCCGCGTTTTGCCTTGGAGTCTTGAATATCCATCTCGACTGGCTGACGGCCATGTGTCAGATTGCGGCCGTTGATAGGCCTGTCAGGGGCAAGAGCGGCTGCCGGCCGCATCCCTAATAGTCCAACAGTCAGTCCAATTTGAATGACGGTACGTAGTAAGTCACAAGGACAATAATGGTGGTTGATCTGTTGCCAAACGCAGTTTGGACCGGACGGAGTAATCTGTAGATCGATCACGGAAATGCCGTTTGGATCTTCCTTCCTTTCATCAGATACTACTAGTCAAAGCATCGTCATCGTCGACGTCAAATTTGAATCCGACTGATAATTCCGGCCTTGCTCCACCCTTTGCTTGGTTGAATCCTGGAGTCGGCCGACTTCAGGAGACAAATCAGTAACCCGAAACGGGCCAGCTGGCAACAACGATTGGGCCAACGGGGGATCCTTCTGATGAGCACTGAGGTGGCTTCTCTGCACATGGCCTCGGTGTGGGGATATCGTATTCTCAACACCGCTCCTCGCACCCCTTGCCAGGAACCAGTCAACGTTGACTATCTCTTCCACCCGTCGTCATCATTCCCTGGCTCTCGATGAGGCCGTCCGAATCAGGCATATGGTCGCTAAGACTGGATTGGATTCGCTACTCAGCCCGCTCTAACTCCTCGCAAGATCAGTGGCAGTACGTAGTGGATGATGAGACGATACGATGTAGTCACGATACTCCCGGGGTTTCGTCCCAAGTTTCGGGGTCTGGGGCCGAATCCCGCAGATTCGGGAATGGAATACGATTACGGAAGACGTCGTTCAATCGCTGGGATTGCTGCGGCTCGCGCTGAGCTGAGCAGCAACTTGAACTTGCATGCAAACCTCAGACTTTGTTAATGATGTATATTGAATCAGCACCCATGAGTCGCCGCTGAAAAAACGGCCAGTCCAACACAAAACGAATCATGAACAGGCAGGCTGACAGCGGGAAGGGCCGCCAAATGACTCTCCAGAGTTTGGCCCCCTCGAGGACCAATTTATCATCATGAGTTGATTCGTGTGTGATGATTGTGATGAAAAGTGAGGCTGGAAGCATCGACTTGGCTCATTGGCTCTGCCTCATCGAGCTCTTTATGTCACCAGTTGCCTTTGGCTTGTTGTAACTGTGGGGTTTAGACATGGCCGTGATTGATTCAGAGGTTTGTCCTCTCTCATCGCTGTTGACTGAGTCAGTTAATCTCCCCTCAGCGTTTCAGCAACTCAGCAACGACCTCTCGTAGAGAGTCTAAACTGGAGTGGCCAAAGTCTCACTCCCAGCTCTCCGACCCACGATCGAAACCACTGCAAGATCGAGACACGCTAAGCTCGGGGTCTTGGCAGGTCGGCGCAGCGTCCGCTCCTGCAATTCCAAATTCTCCCCAGAGTTTTACTTTGTTCTTTGAAAAGTGATTTTCAGGGTGAAGGGCTTGTCCAGCAAAGTTATTGGCTGGGTTAATTTTCCCTGGATATGTTTCTGAAATTTCAGAAACAGAGATCGTGGCAGGGTTCAAGAGATCAGAAAGTCGAGAGTTCGGGGTGGCGCTTGATGGGATTCATCGGATTTGTTGGTTCGGGTATGGGACAGTGACCAGCAAACTGCCAAGGCTGCCTTATTCTTCTCATTGTTGCTGTTGTTGTTGGACTTGATTTTGCGCTGTTTGTTGTTAATGGTTAGTTTGAGATATTTTCTCGCTCGAACTCTACTAGATTCAGTGGAGACGAAGGGTATTTGTCCATGGAGAATGATGTCCGGACGTGAGGCAATTTACAGTGGACACAGATATATATCACCAACATATCGGGTATATTACCACTCACCTTGGAACCTAGAAACATAGCTAACACTCAGTGAGCCAGCAGGATTCATTTCTGCTGTTCTACAGTACTTCCAATGTAGATAGCTCCTTCCTTTCTGGACTCTCCTGGTATCTTCTAATCCTGTACGCAAACCCACCACCACCACCCCTGCAAAGATTATCTCCAAACAATACCACTGTCAAATTGATCCAATCCAACGCATTGTCTTACCACTGCCATAATGTACGCACCCTGCATATGGATCAATAAACTATTCCTGCAGCGCGAGCTCTGTACTACCCAGTCCGTCCAGGTGCATAGTATCCATGTCTGTACTGTGTAACTCGAGTCGTGGCCTGGTTGAGCCTGGTACTGAGTCCGACGGTGGGTTGGGTGCTCCACTTCCTGGGTTTTAGGCTGGCCGCATGTCGGGCAGAGAGGTATGTTTTGCAGAGGATAGATCCTGGTCGGTTTTCAGCAGGACTACCCAGAGTACAGTTACAGTGTACTGCGAAGCAATTGGTGGGATTTGACGAGGCAACCTGTGCTGATAAGACGCACCATGACGAACGAACGAATCTCGTCTCGACAGTAACACTGCGCAACGATCATGACATGCTGTGTGTCGTCCTCTCAACCTCAGTCGCCATCCAGCTATCTCTCCACCCATACATTACTTTATTGATCCATCTTCTCTAATGATGCAGCACTGAACCAACCCACCAGACCCAAACTCAAACTCTTTGGCTGCACGTCAATCCCAAATGTGACATATCCCCGCATTAGCGCCCCAGACGATCAGAAGGAGACCCCAGCGACCGCCGGCCGCCAACGGGACTGGGCAGGGTCAAGCCAGACCCATAATTCCTCTTTGGTCTCGAGCTCGATCATCGAATTTCAAGTCGTCAGGTCCGGTGCCTGCCGTTGATCACTCATTCTCGATCCATCTCCTTGGCCATGGACGGCGAACGAACGAACAAACGAAAGACCGCTTAGCGAAGCGCAGCGCAGAATCAGATGCGATCTGTGTCCCGTGCATCTGTCACTTCCTCGCACCTTCGCATCTTTACCGCTGCAGATTATAGCGACGAATAGTCTCGTCCAATCTTGCGGAGCGACTCAGGCTTCGCCGCTACGGTAGGCGCGCTCGCATGGACACCCAGGCCAGTCCAATCCGACCCAGCGCACAGGACCGATCGATCGACCGTCGAGAGGCTATAGGTTAATCGGGCGCCTGGGCAGGGATGTGCGGTTGAAGACACAATTGACGTCTTCTATGGTTGGTCACCATTGGTCCATAGGGAGTGTGTTTGCGCTGCTTGGTTGATTGCTGGCGGCGAGAGGCTGAAGGTAACCCGTTGCGAGGTGCGCCACTGCGGGAAGATGGAAGGATAGGCTGTTTGATTGTTGTTTGGAGGCTCTATGTAGTCCGTGACGAGATTGGTAGGATGGTACAGGACTCGATCTCGGGTTGTCCACAGAATGCAGAATGCCCCGAGGACCCTGGGTACTCGGTACCTGGTACCTGGTACCAACATCAGATCGATTTCCTCCACAGCGGACCCTTCCACAAACCACCCCAACACACCGATGACAGATCAGCTCTTTCACCCCTCACAGGGCAACGCAAGGCACACATTCCATCGTCGAGACGCTCGATCCAGCGAAAAGACAAAGAAAAGGCACAGAAGAGCGACCTCTCACATTTCCAACGGTCTGGAACCCCATCTTGCAGATCATTCCGAACAAGTCCGGCTGGCCGGCGCATGGGCCTCTCCGCTGTTCTTTGCTGATTCTGTTTTGCGATCAACATGTCTGTAGCGGGATTCCGCTGCAGAGCTTTCCGGCCGTTGATAAGCGCCAGAGGGGAGAAGGTGGGTGGTGCAGACTGGTTCTACGGAGGACTGGTGGAGGGGGTGGATGTCACGGAGACTCGGAGTAAATGTCAATGTGTCATGCGGCTGTCATGTCGGCTATGCGCGGCGAATAAGACTAGTTGATAACTGGATGCATTGAATGGCAAAGAGAGTATTTGGAATTGCGTCTTCACTGTTGAGAGGCTTAGGGTAACGGCGGAGGACTCCAACCACCTCTCGACATAGGCTTTGCGACCAAAACTGATTCGACAACCGTTTCTTTGTTTGCTAAGCTATCTATGCTATCAAAGCCTCTCTCAGGCCTCATACTCGGCTGAATTGTAGCCACTAAACGTGACAAGGCCATCTAAACTAACCTGCCCTAGTGATCCCGTCCCACCACACTCTCGATATCACATCACACCAATCCGATCTCCTCCATATTCCATTCCATTCCATTCCATTCCATTCCACCTCGTCCCCTATGTCCACGCCTCCCCAACCGCTCCCGAGTATTCCCATTTTCTTTCATCCACCCCCTGGGAAACGAGTAAACGACCAAGAAAAACAAAACCGGCTTTCGCGCCCTATCCCGCGCGGCCCGGCGTTCGTTAGCGGGAATTTGGACTGGGGGTAGGATCCTGAATGTCGCGTCCCCCTGTTCAGTTCCTTCCCCTCGGCACTCGGGGACCGGCTTTGCTTGGCTCTCGTGTTTGTGTGTTTTGTGGGAACCTTGAGAGGAGAGGGGAGGGGAGGGGAGGGTGGATGCTCGTTGGCCGTTGGGTGCAGCGTGCCGGGGGTAGCGTGCTTGTCGGATGCTGTGAGGCTGCTTGGCTGGGTTGGGTGCTTACCAGTTACAGGATTACCGTAGGCATTGTTGTTGCTGGTTATTGTTACGTTGGAGGAGTGAGTAGGCCATATACGAGAACCATATCAGTTCAGTCGAGGTTCTCGTGTGGAGAGTGTAGTGTATGCAGCAGCTCGAAGTATACTCCTTCCACTGGATGTATAAAGCGGCAAGGCGCTTTCCACTCCAAGAGCGAGATTGTATGTATGGATAGATGGACTTGCTTTAGCTTTGTGCATGCTTGATTATTATGTTTTATGTTATCCTACCAATGCTTCTAGATATATCTTTGCATCAATCAGATCGAACGTCGGCAATATCGCTCCAGAATTTCAAGTATATTCATGCCAACTTTGTCCGTACTAGAATAGTGAGTCCATCCAAGTTCACAACGGTCCCGTATCATCAATCCAGCGCAGGGTGGGTGGGCGCAAATGCCTGGGCGTCCACGGGAAATAGACGCGACTGGACTTGACTGGGTGTTTCTCGTCGTGGGTGTTGGCTTGTATATAGTACTGTACATGACTCCTGGTTCCTCTGTACAATACGAAAACCGTTCCGTCCGATGCATCTCGTACACTGACTGCCACGAAGGTATCACGTCAGGCAAGCTATGTAAGTTATCTATCCCAATAGACCATGACGACTAATTCATCTGCTGCATAGCCAAGTCCAGAACAGTGAGCGGACTGATCAATCATCCATCACGAACGAGTCCTGAACGCAGGTTGGCAGAGTTCAAGGTCCCTCCAGCTGAAAATCTCTGCACCATACATCGTTACCAGTCAAAGCATAACTTGGCTTACCTTCCTGCCGTGTTGCTCCATCGTACAAGGCGAGTCGAGGCGAGGCGGAGGAGACACAAAGCGACGAGGTTCATGCACGCAAAGATGATCGTGATCCGTGTGTTTGGCAGTCCAGCCTGGCCTGGGCAGTGGGGTGTCGTGTCTGTTTAAGCTTTCAGCGGCGATCTCGATCTCCTGGACCCGGAGATGGTCTCCAGGGAATATCTTCCTTGGGACTCGGAATATGCATATGCACTTGTTCGCAAGGCAACCCAAAGGCACGAATTGCCGGATGCGAACTACCTCCGACTGAGCACTGCGGTTTGCGGGCGCAGAGATGGCTGGTGCGGGGGACAGACAGGCCAGACCTCTTGCGAGCCCGGATATCTATGCTCGAGGAGGAAGAGGAGCAACAGCTTGAGAATGGTTCGGTAGGCCCATCACAGTCATAGCGTGGCGGGCCCTGCCTTTCGTTTTTATTCTCTAGGCTATACGGAGTCCTAACCCAACATATAGTCCTTGCCGTATATACTTGGTATTGTGGGCGACTCGCGATCCAATGACCCCAACCCAGGCGACTTCCCCTTCGGGCGCGCGAACTGGTCTGGTCCTAGCCAGGGCTCGATGCCATTCTATTTCACCCTGACGGGCATGCGTCGCCAGTAACGAGATCGGCCGCATCCTTCCAGGGCTTGTGCTCGTCGAGATCCCAACTGCGAAGCTGTCTTGCCGACATGGCAAGCTAGGGCTCATGCGAGGCAGGATGACAGTCAGGATCTCGGAGACTGCCATGACAGGTAACGGCGCGCCGTCAAGAATTACCAAGGATCATCCTTCTCGCAGGATCAACGGTCCCCCGGAATGGATCTACAATGCACGTACTACGGCTCTGTCTGGCGCTCAGACCTGGAGGTCTGGATTGAAAATTCAAGGGACGATCTGCGCTGTCTACGGTCCGGCTCTGCCGATCTGTTTGTGGAGAGGAGGAAGGGGGGGCTGAGACTCGGTGAGTAGGAGTGTGGGGGTAATTCTGCGCCTATGGTACGTATGTATGACACTTGGCTGATTCGACAGTAGATCTGAGTATGCTCGCATGTCAAAGTACCTTACAAGCCTATAAGACTTCTCCAAACAGAGTAATTGGGACAAGACTAGACAATATAGGGTTTGCTCACGGGAGATCGATCTTCAAGCAGTAAACCTCTACCCCCCAACAAGGTTCAGTTCGGTGACCATGGTACGCATGTGCCTTCTTCAGGAGCCTCATCGCCTTCTTTCTCAATCTGTCCAGTTCTTTTTACCACAGACCAACGTGCTCTGGTACGTCACAGAGTTCGTGGCGATCAACGTTCGTTTTGGAAAAATGCTGACTATAAGCTTTCGAGCTCAAAGGCTCGAGCACGACTTTGTCAGCGAGGAGAGGTACGACCAGGCCAAAAGTACTCGAGTAATACCCCGTACAGACGAGCTACGGTATGCAGTGAAAGGGGAAAACAATGGCCATGTCCTGCAGTGCTGCTCTAGCACCGCAGGTCCTCTAACATCCTCGTCACTGACAGCCCGGAAGGAAGCGGGGACCCTTTCACGAGTCCTCTTTTCCAGTCCCCAGGAGCCCGTGTGGGATCCAGGGGGAGATTCACGTCCGGGCGGAAAGGGGTAGGATGCGAGGGAGATCGGGGCCAGGGGGGATGGGCGATCATCATCAGGCGGAAAATATCTCCGGACCAACTAAACACAATAGTCACTGCTCAACGTACGGATCGGACCAGACGCTTGCGGCCTTTTGCTCACTAACCCCTTACGGATCTCCCTGCGTTTTCTTGCACATCTTGGTCATTGCGTTGCGCTTCATCTTCCTTTTCCTTTCAAGGAAACCAGAAGGACTGGTACTCACGCCGTCGCATCGCTAACTTGGGCAGAATGATCCGAAGGCTGATCTACATTCCAGACCCCTGGGCTAGGCTTTTTTTTTTTCCGCTTACGTAGCGAAGAGGGTGACGTGACCTGTCACGTCGTGCCAAAAACCATAGCCTACACAGCGCGGTGCACGGACGACCAGGCGATACGAGAGCGACAGCCCGCGGAACGTCTGAGCGTCGAGTCGAGCTCGATCGCCAGTTGACCATTTTCATCATCGAGGCTCCGTGTATACAGTACATACATGTTGATCTCCCTGAATGATCCAAGGCAACCAACTCCTCAACTTTAAAAGCAGACAATCATCACAATGATAGGCCAGACCAACCTTAACCTCAACCCCTCACCCACCAGGCGATCAGATCACACCCTCAACGCCAGCGCACCGGCGCAGATCCCGAAAAGAATGGCATTGACCTCTCCCCCCGAGCGGGCGGCAGCGACGATCTGGACCGATCTAGCCGCACGCCTGTAGGCCCGAGCCCGAGCCCATGGCGCTGGGATGGGATGGGAGCACAATGGGAGTCTATGCGTGAGTTTCGGGCCCTAGGCTCCCCGCTCCGGCCTCCCTGATACGGATTCGGTGTCGACGGCTGGACATTGCAATGGCACCTGCCATTGAGGAGATGGCTTGGTGGCGGCTGACGGGCTGTGGATTCGTTCGGCACACAGACGAGTTTGGAACTTCGTGTCTGCAGCCCGTTCTGCATCTGGACGGGCCTAATTCCGGTCGAGAGATTGTTTGTGAGATAGCAGCGATAGATGGAGCTGGGATTGGTTGCTGTCTATCTGACACAGGCCGCGAGGCTACCGACCGGCTGGAAAGGAAAGAGGAGGAGGCTGGGCCAGCCACCCACCTTGGGGAGGTCGCGTGAGCTGGATGTGTTCGTGGGATTGCACGAGAGTAGAGTTGGGGAGGGGACTGCGCCGATCTCGAGACCTGGATGCTAGTTACTATCGTAGGTACGTTTTCGATGAGTGTACGGACCGTTGACTTGAGCTCCAAAGTACCGGACCTTACGACAACAGTGAGGAGGGACTATCTCTAAATATGATATGCTAATCGATGGGCTAGTATGTACCTATTCAATCTGAAAGTGGGCACCTGCTACGCTACCAACCCGACAGCGAGCGGCTCATGCGCCAGGTATCTAGATGCGAATCTACAGAACTGAAATCCCACCCGCCCCATTTCCAACCCAAGCGCGCAAGATATCTAAGACGAAACGTAGAGTGAAAATATAAGGACCCGCCTAGAAGTGCCGTAACTGGCAGTGGAAAAGCGTCCAGATGCCGCGGAACACTTCGACTCGGTCTTGCGCGTCAAAGAGGTCGTACCATCGCGTCCGGCGGACTTTCAGAACGTGCCAGGGCTGTTCTGCTGGTGAGTCTCCAGGTACGTCGCTGGTTCCCATTGTCAGAAGATCGAGGTAGCGCCGGTGGATACGGAGGTGGAGGATGGAGAGGTGGTGGTTGATTGAGGAGAGGAGGTAGATCTGGGATTGTTAGTGCGGCCTTTGAGAAATAGATATGGACAAGGGAGATGGATGGAGGAGGAAAAGCTGTAGCACCTACATCATCAAACGGACTGTCCTTGTCCTTGCCAATCTGTATATACCGCATGCGTCTATCCCAAAGACTCGAACCAGGCTGAACGAGCCTCCATTTCTCGCTACTGCTCATCTTCCTCGGCAGACCCGGCCGTCGCAGGCCCCCCCGCGATCGTTTGCGCTCGTGGCCTCCAGCAGCAGCCGCCGCAGCTGCCTCCTCCTCCTGCTCGTTTGTAACGCGCGGGCTATCGCCGATAGAATCGTTCGGCGCACCACCCCACCGTGGCGTCGTCGTCCACCACTGTCCTTCGCCCGGCCTGACCTCCGTCATCCCTTCGCGGGCACGCTCCTGCGCGGCGAGGATCATCGCCGCAACCTCGCGGATGAGGTCGCATGTATCGCCCAGTCCGGCGCCGTGCGCCTCCTCCGGCCCGCGGAAGGAGGTATCCGGGCGACACTGCGCGATGAAAACCGGCCCCTCGAGCATGCCGTTGCGGGCGAGCTGGCGGTCTTTCGGAGAGCGTGTGGCTTGAAAGGTTTGACGCACGGGGAAGAGCAGTTTACCCAGGAGGAGGCGGGGTGGGACGATGGGGAGGGAGGCCTGGCAGCCAAAGGGCCATGCGGCCATTTCGGTCAGGGCGCGGACAGTCTCTTCGCGGATATCGTCGGGCATGTCGGAGCCGGCGGCGAGGCGCCGGCCGGTGTATTTCTTGACGAGTTCTGGCTCTGCAGGTGGTGCTCCCGGTTGTTCTTCTGCAGTGGCGGGGGTGTCCACGTCCATTGGCGTGGCGTCTGGTTTCGTCTCTTCGGGTTCCGGCGACTTGGGCCGCTCAAAGTAGTTGTCCGCGCTGTCGTCCCAGTACTGCGACATGCGTTCCAGCGCCGTCCAGAACTTTCTCGCCTGCGTCACGCGTACGCGGCTCCGTCCTTCGCGAGGGGGAAGCCTGGCCACCTCGCGAAATGCGTCATCGTTGTCCAACAGCAGCTCCTGCTCCAGCAGATCGTATTTATCCTTGGGCGGATATGGGTTCTCATTGTCCATGGTGACCGGAGTCCCGTCTGCTGGCGGCGCCTGGCCGAGCGAGGGAGTCTCGAGGTTAGTTTCCCATGGTAGTGTGGGTGCGGTCTTTGCTCCGTCGTGCCGGACGATATCGGAGACAGGGATGTCTGTCGCGACCTCGAGGTTGAGGTCGTGAAATTTCTGCGGAGTGATATCTTGTGGACGGCGGATGGAGGCGAGGACGTGTTGAAAGTTTCGCAAGGAGTCTTCTGAGGGCGTCTCGGGGACGGCGGGGAATCTGTAGATGGGGAAATCGAGGGGTGTCGGGGGAGGGGGCGGAGCCCGCTCCTTGTCGGGATCTGACGCGACTGACGGGAGGCCTGGGTATTGTTATATTAGCATTGAGTTTCTCACTGAGAGCAGGCGCTGGGATAGGCGCCGTAGCTCTAGGTCTGACGCCGGAGGATTGCATGTGCCTGGAGGCTTCAGGGGTGAACTCGGCTCTTCCGTAGCGGCCCGCACTTCAGACTGTTAGAACGCGGGGTCGAGCAGGCTTACCCAGCGCACTAGCCCATCCAAACATATTGAGAAAATAGGGTCGTATATATTCTTGTTCAACGAAGCGATGCCAATGGCATGTCAGATGCAAAGATGCAGAATCACAATCACATGCGCTAGCTCAGCCCTGAGGACGAAAGTGTGGTTCAGGGGAATGAGGGGTAAGTGGAAGTGGCAAGAGTCTCATTCGCACGAACCGTGGCACGGACTCCCAACGAGGGTTTGTAGAGAGAGAGAGAGAGATGAGAGAAGCGAACATGAGGAAAAGAGGGGAAGACGTTCAGGAGCCAACTTGAACCGTCGGTCCCTCAATGCATGAGTGGAGTGACCTGACACCGCGTGTTGCTGTCACGCTAGCCAGGGTCTGCCTCGCTAGGTGCCCTGATATGGCCGTCTCTGCATCGTTAGTGCTGGGTGAACACATCTGCCTGGTGAGACGATGAGCTTCGAATGTCTTTGAGATGAATTGAAGTGAGAGAACGCCGAATCGACGCAGCTGCGAGCAATTCCATCTTCATTACTTTGACTTTCTGGAGGCGGCGCTCAGGCGGCGCTACGCCCAAAACAGACAGTCGGTCCGGACCCCGGGGTGCCTGAGGCAGCAGCATGCTTGCCCAATCAGGAATCCCGCAGTCACATCCAATTGGATTCTCTCCATCTTTTGACAATCAACAACAACCTCTCGCAGCTTCAATACCTGTATCCTGTTCAAGTGCTCTCAACGCATTGATTTCAAGCTTGGATCTCGCAGATAATTTCAATCGGTGATCGAGCTGGACTGGACCCTTCCAAAGATGACCCAGTTCGCACTCTGGATATTAAACCCCCCGGCCCATTGGACGGAAAGTGTTTCATATATTGCTCCGTCGTGATCCTTTCGCTCAGGAACCTGCGCCTCTTTCTGGGCCTCCGGCGCCCAGGCCCAAGCCCGCATGGCCTTTAATATAGCGCGTCATAGCGTCTGTCTGCGTCTGACACGAAGGGTTCGTTCGCTCGCCTGATCTTGCCTTCTCTACGCAGGGGTCACACTATCATCTTACGGCTCTTGCTCCCTCCTGGACATCTCTGACTCTCTGCACGGTCTCTGCTCTCTCTCCGCTTGAGGATTTCCTGGTGAACCTTCTACTGTCATGGCTTGACAGGCATTCTTTCAGTTCCTCTCTCTTGAGAATTCGACCATCCTTCGCTTGACCTCTCACCAGCTTATTGTCGCAAGACAACGTCATTCCTTGCTATTCAGCTCAATCTCAATGTAGTCGCACCAGCAAAACGTCTGTTGAGCGACATGTCAACCAACCCATCCATCATCTTCTACCAGGGCCGCAGATGTACAAAAGTCCCACGACAACCGCGGGCAACCGACCCTCCGTCTGCCACAAACGACCCTACAACAACCTCATCAGACCGCGACTCAGCTGAGGAAACAGCGGCACCAAAGCCTTCTTCCACTACTGCATCTACCACAGTCGCGCCTAATCCCACCAGTTCAGATTCCGACTCGGATTCCTACTCAGGTTCATCATCAACCAAGTCACAGGACCACACATCAAGCGAACCCTCGGAACCACCCTCGTCAGATTCAGAAAACCCATACGGCGCGACGCCTACGGCCACTTCCATCAGTCATACCACATTCACTACCTCAACATCCACATCATCAGACACAAGCACATCCCTGTCGGAACCCATTCAATCAACCTCAGACGATGACGGCTCCGGGCCCCCGTACGCCACAATATTCGGCGTGCTATTTGGTGTACTCGGATTTATAGCACTGATTATAATATTATTCTTTTTCTTCCGCCGCCGCTCACGCCGGGATTCAACCGCATCTGAACCAGGTGGCTGGAGCGTTCAAAGGCTATTACCCAGTGGCCGTGGATCCCCAGATTCGACGATGACCCTGCAGCAGGATTACCGACCACCAATGTCCTACCTCGCAGATGCCTCGTCGACCTCTTCAAAGCTATACAAGACCGGAACAGCGCCGCCATCATATTTCGACAAACCAGCGCAACATGCACAACCCGGAAACTACCAGACAGCAAACCAGCACCAGGCCCAGAACCAGAACCCCTTTTGCGACTCCGCAGAAGTAACCCACCTCCCGCAGAGTTCCATTGTCCCCTTCATGATGCGCAGCTCAGCCATGGATCCCGACTCGAATCCCAATTCCGACCCCACACGACCCGCAGAGTCATACGCTCCCTACCGAGATCGGGATCCAGATCGCGACTCCATGCAAAGCGGAACCAGCCTCGGAAGCACCCTTGTCCTCCCGGGCCGGAGCAGCGCAGGGAGCAATTACCAGGGGATGCTTTTCCCACAACCGCCGGAGACGGGGTCGTCATTTCAGAGGGGCATGGTTCGTGGATCTGGCAATGAGAATGGGAATCAGAATTCGAATCTGCATAGGCATATGCATATGGAAATGAGCATGTATGATGCAGATGCCGCTCGTGATCGTCCGCCGATCTCAGCGTCAAGGAGGAGTTCGGGGACGATTCCAGTTGCATTGATCTAGATGAGACGAGGTGGCTTTTGGGAAATGTATCTAAAAAGTTCTAATACCATAATCTAGATAAACGGTTTGGGAAGGGATATACAGGCTATTCATATAATTCTGCATTTTCTGTTCTTGATCTTCAGATTGTAAACTTGTAGCCATCTTCGTTGCCAACCCGCCATGAAGCCAGTGTCGTGGTTCACTGACTTTGTCTGACACACCTGGGATTGTTATGCAGGTGTGGTACCATAGGCTTTGACCTGGAACCCGAGGTTGAATGGAATCTCGGCCCAGTGCGCTTTATCCGTAGGGTACTAGTCTACCTATCGTGCTTTCTTCATGGCATAGGCAGTATCCCAGACCCGTTCCAGGGTTGAATTTCCCAATCCTCCGTCCTCATATCAGGTATTCCATCCTGGTATGGACCCTGCATGTAGGTATGCCGACTCCAGAAGCAGCTCTCACTCACATATTGAAGGACCAGAGGGCCTTAAAAAACTGCCAGGTCATTGCAGGGACCGAATATCTTTCTCATAGGTTTTTCTATTCAACAAGAATCAGCTGATGGGTGGGACAGACAGCGGTCTTGAGATAGAACTCAACGAGCATGAACAGATGGCCCAAGCCTGAGGGCGACTCATTTCTGTAGCGAGTGCTGTTGCCTATCCCAAGATAGATCCGTGCAACTTGCCGTGTTGCGATGCCATATCTTGCTTCGGAAACAACTGTCACTTCTCGCTGTTGCCTGGATATTATCCCGAGCTGAGCATTGAGCTCTTGCCAGGCGATAAGCCGTGTATGCCTGAAGCTACTCCTCCAAGGATCGGAGCAGAACACAGAGCGGCGTGCGTGGTCTGCGGTGTCTTGTATGTCGCCCCCTGCGTGCGCAGTCTCAGTCTCTAGTTCCTTAGAGCCTCCTTTCCCTGTTGGAGGTGACACGATGCCCCAGCCACTCAACGAGGTTGCCGTTGGCCCTCGTAGCAGTCACTACTCCAGAGAGAACGAACCCAGCCTTACTTACCCCTGGTTCCCCTTCGCCCTGGCCTCCTTAATCCTCAACGCCCGCTTCTCCATCCAACCCCCTCCTCTTCAGCACGCGACTGCCCGTCGGCCTTGAAACAACGACCCCAGTCTCGGCGAGTAACCACGCGACAATCTCCTCCTGCTGCCTCCACCCGTCCTGCACCAAGTATTCCAGAATCACGTCCTCATCCTCGTTTGTGAGATTCCGCGACCGGCCCAGCGCAAGGTATCGCGGCTTCCGCACGCTCCCGTGGGTGACGAGGTTGTGGTGCAGGCGCTCGACGGTGCACGGGGAGACGCCGACTTGTTTCGCGATGGCTTGTTGGGTGAGGGATTGCGTGAGGAGGCGGCAGATTTGGACGCGGAGAGCGGGTTTTTAGACCTCGGTTTTGAGGGAGGGGGAAGGGGGGGGGTGGTGTTCGGGGCGGGATTCTTGGGGAGGTTCGATTGACGGGGGTTTAGGTTCGGGTGGTTGCGCAGGGTTCTGGAGGCGGTTGTGTAGATGGTTGCCCGGATGAGCACCCCTCACTACAGCGGGCCAAATCACCGCGCTGCGAAAATGCAAGGGACCGCTCCCTAAGCCCATCTGGGACTAGCGTCATGAACAAGAAGACGAGCTCCCACGCCTCATTTCTGAACACTCAGAGAACGAATCATGGACACTGCCAGCCGACGCCGCGCTCCACCTCCAACTACAGCACTTGGCAGTTGCCAGGCCGGATCGATAGTAAAGGAGAGCAAATGTTGGTAGGTATTAATAAATGGAGGCCAAAGCTGATTGCTACTGATAAGACTACTATCACGGGAAATGAGAGGACCTGGTTCCAATTGGACCCCGGACTCAGCTAGTCAAGTGTAATCACGCATACATGCAGCATCACTGATAGGAATGCCTAAATTCTTATCAAGTATGATTTCTGAACAGGAGATGGATCTATCTACCGGCAATTCATCGACGCTCCTGCGGCTCCTCAGCCCACGAGGCGTTTTTGCCATTGATATTCGCGACCAACTCTTCTGCGCGTGACGGCACCACACCAGCCTCCCGAACCTTACGTTTTATCGTGGTATAGCTTGGGATCTATAAACTGCTATTGTACTAGGTTAACCCGAATTGGTACCACTGCCTCGACCCTTTTGAACCAGTCTCGCATCGTGACACATTGATCCCAATAAGATGGACCTGGTGATGAAGACTCCTAGGCCAGATAACGCTACTATACACATGGTTTTAGAACTCTTTGAAGAACATTCCTTGAGGTTCAGGATAATGATTGTCTGGGAACACACGCCATCGCCGCTGTATACAATCACTTGGGTGTTGCTAGAGCCTGTGCGAAAGTCTATGAGAGATTTGAGGATATCTAGACCATGCCTCTCGATGTGCAAAGTTGCAGAGCCGACACATTTTATAGGCACTGTGGTTGATATGGATGTTTTCCAGCGGCTTGGAAGAGAAACGACTTTAACTGCTGTTGAATTACCTGGATCAAGGAGAGCCGACCCAAACTTGGAAGGGACTTGTGCATATCGGAGCGGCTGAAGGGCATCGCATACAGGAATGCTTGATGATACCCAAGGAGCATGACGGCATTTGCATCAGCACCGGTCAAAATGTATGTTCCCAGACTTGGCCCTGGCCTTTTAGCCACGAGTCGATGCTCCAATTGATGATTATGTACTCGTGTTCGGAGGATGTATGCATCAATCATGGCCCCCTCTCCAGGCAAGCGGGCCTCATTGTCCCAGCTACCACTATGACTTTAAGATCTCCTTTGGAACGTTGTTGTTCCAGGGCCCAAGGCTATCCGGTTTCCCGGTAACTTACGTCGAGGACAATGGGGTACAAGGATTGAAGCTCGCAGTCGGCGCATAGACACCCGCACCCAGAGACATGGGGCACATGTAGACACTGGTGATGTAAACACAAAAAAACCACCCACATCCTGGTCGTGCCTTCGCCTGACTGCCAGCGCGGCTTGGGCCGATACGTTCCGTAAGCTACACTATCGGTGTACAACCACCTCACATGAGTCGTCCCACTATGTATTGTGCGAACCCTCCGCTGTAGCCGTCCACTGTATGAAGCCCTGAGCAGACGCTCAGCTTCGGAAGTCCGCCTGCACTCGCAGCAGCGCTTACTTCTTTCCCCACTTGTTATGGTCGTATGGCTTGTTTGAGCTCCTCTTGAGGCGATGATAGCCCTCGTACGTCCTGTGCCATCCTTGGATCTTGTACAGCTTCTCGAGAGCCCCCCGTGGATGAGTGTTCTGCATAGGAGCCCCGGCTATCGTGATAATACAGGTCATTGCATATATAGCATATTAGCCAGCGTTTGCAGACACAATCACTGATTGCTTATTGCTCCTACAGTTCTCGCATAGCTCTCAACGCTCGGGGCAAGATACGGTACTCGCTCTGGGACCAGAGATGGTCAGGATAGCAGTCGGGAGAGTGGTGAAGAGGAAGCAGACTCTAACTTGTCAGACCCTAACTTGGTACAGATTGTCAAGGTCGGTGATGAGAGGAGACCCAGCAGATATAATGTAACATTTGTCCCACGTTCTCGGCATCACAGCATGCTGTTCGAGGTTAAGTGGTTGTGCGTGCGAGGTCGCTTGGACGTGTTCAGTAGGTTGCCCTGTCTAGAAGATTCAAAAAGACAGCGAAGAAGGGAGTAGGCGCTTGGCCCGTACGCATATCCACTTGGGTTGTCGTGCTTGTGGGCCGATCAAGAGAAGGGATCTCGGATAGACTGAGAAACAAGTGCATTCTGAACGTGCTTCCCTACACGGGGCAGGGAACATGGTCTCTGAATGGCGGCTTTTAGTAATAGAATGGCTTCCGATTCCAATCATTCATCCTATGAATATATCCGTATAGTCCGCCGAGACCCCGTCTGGGAGACTGGGATAATCCTGTCTCTATTTATTATGTCATCCGCAACACATGCCAACTCGCTGCTTGCTCATACACGGAGGCCCAAGGTAGGGGCGGAAATAACGCTGTGTTATAGCGCTCTGGCAGGGAGAGTGTCTCCTTGGTGACCCTCCAATCCTGTTAACCACGGCGATATTAACCCGTTTCGGAGTGATCCGGATAATGTAGGATTCGCGCTCGACGTTAAATCGATGCGGAGATGGTCTTTTTTCAAGAAAATCAATATCTAGAATATTGTTCCAAAGGTGATCCACTACCTAGGGAGGTTATTATCCTATTGCCTGAAGGTTTATGACAAGGGCTTGCTGGTCCCTTTGGGCTCACGGCCGCACATATTTGTGGTAAACCCCAGTCACAAGCTGAAGTCGTTGATAAGGGCCACGGCCTACTGCTTGCTGGCCCAGTTGCCTTTGCCAGATATGACTGTCATTCTTTTTGTTGCCTTGCATGTTCAGGTAGACCTCAATGTCTAGAAGGCACAGGATTAGCTTGACGCAGATTGTGTGGAATGGGATGTTCGGAGGAATGAGGTGTAGGGAACCGTACGGGCGAGATGCCATGCCTTTTCATTACACCCATGGCAATGATCAATGTGCTCTTTGACCTGTGGGCGAGGTGATGAGAGTTCCACCACCCCTTGCACCAATTACGCATTGGGCACAGCAACCCGTGCGTCTACGAAGCGAAGCCGGGCTGTTGGATTTGACTACTCAGTGTCGGTCCTCGGCCCATATGACCACGTGAGGCTACGATGCTGCGCGGCAGGTCTACGCGGAGTGGGAGGTAGCGGATGGGTATCCATCTGTCCCAGACACAATTAACAATCAGGCAATGAGGGCCGCCCATAGAGAATCAGGTCATGGTGGCCTTGATAGAATCACCTGGGCAGCGTTACCTTCTCTAGGATGTAATATCAGGAGCTGTCATCCTGTATGCTGGTTGCCTTACAGGCCTTCCTTCATTGACGTCCTTCGGATGGAGGTTGGACACATGCGCCGAGGGCCCAGGATATTCAACTCACGTTGATTTCGGCGTCACTAAGAGAATGCGGGCCG